ATTGGAATTTTGAGTTTCATCGTTTTGCTCTTTAAAGAGCTCTTTAAAAACTTCTTTAAAAAAATTAATTAACTAGCTTTTCAGAATTTTTTAAAGGGAAATTTGTAAATAAATAATAGAAGTTTCTGATAGAATAAACCATAATCGATTGGCTATTGGCGATTGGCTTTTGGCTATTGGCTTTTGGCTATTGGCTTTTGACTATTGACGATTGGCTTTTGGCTATTGACGATTGGCTTTTGGCTATTGGCGATTGGCTCATTATTCATTTCAAAAAGTAGCCTTTAAAAAAGCAAACAAGACTTTCTGGACAGCCTAGTTGTGCTTTTTTTCATACTCCCATTTCGAAATTTCATTAGCCATAGATCAACTCCATCAAAGTCAGAGATTTTTGAAACTGGGTCATTTTTTGCCCTCAATTTTGAAAGCTTTTAATTACTTTCGTTGTTTGTTGTCTTTTAAAAATTAGAACTTTCTATAAGGTCAATCGGAACGTTACGAACTAAATAGCCTTGAGCTACAGTATGCTCTATATTTGTCTGACTTTCAGATCATTGCGTTTTATAATAATAATAATAATAATAATAATAATAATAATAATAATAATAATAATAATAATATGAGAATGATCTATCAAACTCATCCCAAAGGATCATCAAACTTCACGTCATTAACTTTTCGGCCGTTCTTTAACCTTAAGCAAAGATGAAACCCAAGATTTTCAGGAGAAGAACTATTTCGGCGATTTATTGTTGTACCTTTCCTAACTGTGACAGAAGCTTAAACTATCATCGCCATCTATTTTTGCACCCAAAAACATTGAAAAAAGACACCATATTTAGGTTTTAATCATTTTGAAAGAAAACCAATTTACCTATCAAAAATTAGACAATTAAACTTTTCTAACAAAACAAAACAGCTCCGTTTCTCGAATTTTTAAAATCTATTTCACTTTTATTCTATTCAAAGTTGTTTTTTTTCTTATTTTCCTGTGAAATCACATCTTGTGAATGTTTTTGTGAAAAGAAATCAGAAATCACAAGTTTTTGGAGAAAGAAATAACTGAATTCCCACCCTTTCTGCCTAAATTTGGTTTCGCCCAAATAAAATCAAAAAGAAATCGGATTTCCTCTGGTTTTTCCCTCTCTACAAACATTTTCTTATCCTAAATTCTTGCAAACACTGAAATTTTTATCATTTTTTCATAGTTTTGTTGAATTTTGTTAAGTCAAAGCTACAAATTGACCCATAAAAAATGGCAAGTTTCAATTGAAGTAAAGATAAACCTTGAAAGGAATAGTTAATAAGCTTGGTGGCTCGACCCAAAAATAAGTGTCTCCCTCTTTTCCAATCTTTTCTAAAAAGTGTTCTTTCGACCGTAATCTTGTCTCTTTTTATCCAATCTATTCTATTTTAAATCTTGATTTCGATATCCTTTGTGAACTCACACAAAATCAGATTAAAAAGTGGATAGAATGAATTTTAAAAACTACAAATTGACTTATAAAAAATGAGAAGTTTCAATTGAAATAAAGATAAACTTTGAAAGGATTGGTTAATAAACCGGATGATGAAGTTTGAAAGGATTGGTTAATCGGAGAGTGGTCCCACCCACCCCAATACATTGGCCCGGTAGCGGCTCCGCCGCAGGCGCCTGACGGCACGGTTTTGGCTCAAAAATAAGTGTCTCTCTCTTTTCCAATATGTTCTAAGATTGTGCTAGATTAGTGAAAGCAAAGCAAAAATGTGCTAGATTAGTGATAGGAAAGCTTTCAGCGAAAATACTGCAATCTAGTCGCTAGTTTTCATTCGATTTGCTCAATTTTGGTTATATTCAATAAGGGAAACACAAAGCTCAGTCAATGGGGCCAAAATTGAGCTAATCGAGTGAAAACTGGCGTGCGGATTACGGTATAATTTCAAAAATGGATTAACCGAAAGGGAAAACGAGTTGAAAGGCTGGAAAGCTCCTGAAAGCTGGAAAGGAAGCTTTTTATTTTTGACACGAGTCACCAGGTCTATTAACCAATTCTTTCAAGGTTTATCCTTAATTTAATTGAAACTTATCATTTTTTATGAGTCAATTTGTAGCTTTGAATTAGCAAAATTAAAGATTATTGTTGTACCTTTCCTAACTGTGTAAGTAACCTAATAATAATAATAATAATAATAATAATAATAATATTATATTAAATAATAATAATAATAATAATAATAATAATAATAATATGAGGATGATCTATGAAACTCATCCCAAATGGTCATCAAACGCCACGTCATTAAATTTTCGGCCGTTCTTTAACCTTTAGCAAAGTTGAAACCCAAGATTTTCAGGAGAAGAACTAGGAGAACTAAAGATTCGGCACAAAGCTAGTTTGCTTGTGAGGCCGCCAATTTGGCCCCAATTTGAAACACAGTTTCTGATTTGGACTTATAATACTTATAAAACTTATAATCATAATAATAATAACAGCAATAATAATAATATTATGAGAATGATCTATTGAACGAGTTATGACTCATCTCAAAACGTCATCCCAACTTTCAGCCATTAACTTTTCGGCCGTTCTTTAACCTTGAACAAAATTGAACCCCAAGATTTTCGGGAGAAGAACTATTTGAAAACAGGCGTGCAGATAACGGTATAATTTCAAAAATGGATTAAGCTGGATTAAGCTGAAAGGCTGGAAAGCTTCTGAAAGCTGGAAAGGGAGCTTTTTATTTTTGACACGAGTCGCCAGGTCTATTAACCAATCCTTTTAAGGTTTATCTTTATTTTAATTGAAACTTCTCATTTTTTATGCGTCAATTTGAGTATGAGTCAATTTGTAGCTTTGACTTAGCAAAATTAAAGAAAACTATCTAAAAATGATAAAAATTTCTAAAAAAATGATTCTCCCTTTGGCTCTTGGTGGATGAAGAGCTGGAGAAGTGGGGAACAAGGTTTGAGGGACCAAGCCTTACTTGCACCAAACATAAACCGACAAGCTATTAGTATTTGCTGGTAATTCCTACCATAATCCTTTTTCTGCTCTTTCAACTTTCCTCTTTGAAAATTTGATGTTTTAAAATTTCTTAAAAGAAACAAGAAAATAGCGCTTTCTGATCGCAACCTTCTATTAAAAATTTGATGTTTCAAAATTTGTTAATAGGTTGATGCATAAGTCTTTTCGTTTTTTTCGTACTTCTATTTAAAAAGTAACAAATTCACCAATTAATCTATAGTTTGCTCTATAAAAAAAGTGTTTTTTTGTTGAATTTGCATCTTTTTAAATGAATTTCGGTTCACTTTCAAGCAAATTCGAGAGTGAAAAACGCCTTTTTCGTAAAAATCTATAAAAAACTCTACGGAAAAATTGGCTGAATGAATTTCTCTGAAATTTTGGCGAAATATCAAACGTTTTTTTTCTCTATCTTTTATCTATTGACACGAAGATAGGTTTTCTTTAGCTAAGGTGTCTAAACCGCATCATCGAGTTAGCCCTTTTTGACTACCCGACTTCATACTCTCAAGAAAATCCAGGCATTAAATATTTTTAAACCCGTTTTAATGTTATTTTGCAGAAAAATAATTGCTTTTTCTAATGAAATCAACCGTAGTTTAATTGGTGCATTTGTTGGCTTGAAACGGCAGACGAAAAGGAACAAAAACACTTATGCATCAACCTAATAAAAGAAACAAGAAAGTCACACTTCCTGATCGCATCCTTCTATTGAAAATTTGATGTTTCAAAATTTCTTAAAATAAAGAAGAAAATCGTGCTTTCTGTTCTCATCCTTCTATTAAAAATTTGATGTTTCAAAAATTATGAAAAGAAACAAGAAAATAGCGTTTTCTGATCTCATCCTTCTATTGTTACCTTTCCCACCAAAATGAGTTCAAACAGGCAAACTCTTTTCAAGAGAAAAGGCAAAAGTTTTGTCCCGCTCTTTTTGGGTCAAATTACCCCCTCATCTTTCCGCTTGTCCATTCTCATTTTCAGAAACAAAAAAAATGCGAGTTTCTCCAATTGCCGCTTGCTTGTCCTTTTAGACTTTTTCGAAATTTCAAAAAGTTTTCAGAAATTTTAAAGTTTAACTTTTTCAGTTTTATTTTTTCAGTTTTACTTTTTCAGTTTTACTTTTTCAGCTTTACTTTTTCAGTTATCAAATCAATCATTTACTGGCTAGATAATTCATTCAATTAGCTCAATTTTGGTCAGATTCAATAAGGGGAAACAAAGCTCAGTCAATGGGGCCACAATTGGGCTAATCATTTTAATTCTTAAATATTCTTAAACACTCTCACTCAAAAAAAACAAGTTTTTGATTAGTTTTTGTTTAGTTTTTGATTCAAATCAGATTGAAAATAGCTGAATTTCTGATAAGACTATCAAAAATCGATCTAAATTCTAGAAAATCTCGCAAATCCAAAAGAAAATCTTTCCCAAATGCACTCGTGAATTTGAAATTTGTTATTTGTTTTTGCTTTTTGAAAGAGGTGTGAAGAAAGAGGCTTAGAAAAAAGGCACTCACCACCACAAATCCCCAAAATTGTAATCGGATCTCCCCAACAACCCCTTCAAATACATGAATGGACACATTTTTTTTCAAAAAGCGCCCAACAAATCTTCTTCTAATTTACTTGAAACTGAGATTTCTTACAGCCGAACTTTCTAAGCTGAACCTCTAAGCCTAAGCCTAAGCCGAACTTCTAAGCCGAACCTAGCCGACTTCTAGCCTGCCAGCTGAACTCTAGCTGAATCAAGCCTAAGCCTAAGCCGAACATCCAAGCCGAACCTCTAAGCTGAACCTCTAAGCTGAACCTCTAAGCCGAACTCCTAAGCCTAAGCCTAAGCCGAACATCCAAGCCGAACCTCTAAGCCGAACTTCTAAGCTGACCTTCTAAGCTGAACTTCTAAGCTGAACTTCTAAGCTGAACAAAATTAGCTTTTCTTCTGTCATCAGAATTTGAAAATCTTTATTATTCAACATTATTCAACATTATTCAACCTTTTCAGCTCCTTGAGAGAATGAATCAGCAAAAAAGTCGAGGGAATATCATGCAATTCAGTGAGGATATCATTAAACAGGTAAATGAAATAACTTAATAATAAATATTAATATTAAATTAATCAATTAATAGGTAAATATAAACAGGTGAAAACAAGGGAAAATTGGCTCTTTAAAGTAGGAATCCGAGTTTTTCTGAATTCTTTGAATGAAAGACTTTTGAGTTCTTTCAATTAGCTGTTTGTTTAGAGAAATGTTTAGAGGATGGGCAACTTGTAGCTACAAAATTGGCTATAAAATAGCTACAAAACTAGTTGCAAAATAGCTGTAAAACGCTGAAGTTGCTCTAAAAGAAAAACAAAAACAAAGATCCCGTAGCAGGGATCGAACCCTGATGTTGCGAGCGGCAGCCCTACGCCTTATCCACTAGGCCATCTAGGGACCTTTTCTCTGCAAGAAAAGAGCCTTTTAAAGCATCCATATTCTAAAATTTAGATAAAGACTTCTCTTTTGCTTTTTAAAACCTGAAAAGAAAATTAAAACGAGAGAAAGGGATCGAACCTGAGAAAAAACCTCATCCCTCATCTTGGAAACAAGACTGTTATCCACTAGACCGCAGGGTCTTTGGTCCAGAGCGTGAAAGAAGCTTTATATGGGGACTGATTGCCCTGATTGCCAGATGGCGAGCGATTACGTGACCGCACAAAGAACACCTTTCCGGTCATTGAAAGGGATTTCGCTTTGCTTTTTAGATGGCCCAAAATCAAGATATTCAGCTGTAACTTTGTACCCTAGGGTTTTCGGCATCGGAGAATCGATTGGCGCTATTCATTCTATTGAGTCTTTCAATTAGAACCCGAGTTAATTGGTCTAAACTTTTCGAAACAAAGTTATGGGCTTTCAAAGCTATCAAAACCCATTAAAAGACATTTTCCTTGCAATTGTTTCTTTGAAAATTTGCATTGAAAGTTTATTGACTTATTGAATGAAATTTTCAGTTGACTCCCGAAGAGATCGATGAATTTAAAGAAGCTTTTATGATGTTTGACAAAGACGGAAATGGAACAATATCGACAAAAGAGTTGGGAATCGCGATGAGATCGCTTGGACAGAATCCAACTGAACAGGTTTGAGAAAGTGACTTTTTTACAGTTTTTACAGTACAATGATGTTATAAAATGTTCTAAATTGTTATAAAATGATATAAAATGATATAAAATGTTATAAAATTGTTATAAAATGTCTAAAAATGTCTAAAAATGTTATAAAATGATATAAAATGTTATAAAATTGTTATAAAATTGTTATAAAATGATATAAAAATGTTATAAAATGATATAAAATGTTATAAAATTGTTATAAAATTGTTATAAAATGATATAAAATTGTTATAAAATGATATAAAATGCCTAAAAATGTCATAAAAGGAGCTTGAAACGAAAACTTCCATTTTTAGGAGATTCTCGAGATGATCAACGAGGTGGACATCGATGGAAATGGACAAATCGAGTTTCCTGAGTTCTGCGTGATGATGAAGAGAATGATGAAGGTAATACGGGGGGAAAACTGGGTACAAATTACGTATTACAGTTCAATTATACTTTTTAACCTTATAGTAATTTAAGTTTATCATTTTACCTAATAGTTTATCTTATGAAAAAGCCGAAAAACTGGCTTAAGAGCGAGTTCTGGCTAATGATGACTTTTGCCGTCGCAGCGCAGTCGGGGCCGTGCTTGTCTACGGCCCACAAGAGTCGGATTCGACTTCCGGCTGCGTCTTGACTTTTGTTATTTAAAAAAACGAAATATGAATCGCACAACTAGAAAGAATTCTAAGTATAACAAACAAAAAATGATGTAAATCGGCCAACGGGAAGCCGAGAACGGATGGTCAGACACTTCCCTTTTACAAAAATCTTTAGGCGATTTGTTGAATTGTTGGCAGGCGTCCTTTACAATCTTCATTGAAGCCAGTTCCTTTGAAACGCTTCAGAGCGCGAAAAACATTCTATCTCTTTTCCTGCAAGATTCGAGATATCTTTGCGAGTGTTGTTCCTTGCTGATGAAGAGTAGTAATGACTGGACGCAGCTCTTTCTTAGATTTCATACCTAAAAAACAATCAAATGATCAAACTAATAAGAAGAGAAGAAAGAAAGAAAGCAATCAAACGTAGTAAGATGCGCGTCACCATAATTGTAGGACATTCTGTATCGTAGATAAAACAATCTCAGTTTAAATCGCTGTTTTTTCGACCAGAAATTGATCTAAAATTAATCTAAAATGAAAGTTATTCAATTGAAAAGAAAGAAAGGAAAGAAAGAAAGAAAGAAAAGAAGGAAAGAAAGAAAAGAAGGAAAGAAAGAAAGAAAGGAAAGAAAGAAAGAAAGAAAAGAAAGAAAGAAAGGAAAGAAAGAAAGAAAGGAAAGAAAGAAAGAAAGGAAAGAAAGAAAGAAAAGAAGGAAAGAAAGAAAAGAAGGAAAGAAAGAAAGAAAGGAAAGAAAGAAAGAAAGAAAAGAAAGAAAGGAAAGAAAGAAAGAAAGGAAAGAAAGAAAAGAAGGAAAGAAAGAAAGAAAGGAAAGAAAGAAAGAAAGGAAAGAAAGAAAGAAAGGAAAGAAAGGAAAGAAGGAAAGAAAGAAAGAAAGGAAAGAAAGAAAGAAAGAAAAGAAAGAAAGAAAAGAAAGAAAAGAAAGAAAGAAAGAAAAGAAAGAAAAGAAAGAAAGAAAGAAAGAAAAGAAAGAAAAGAAGAATAGAGAAAGAAATGAATGGAGACTTGAGATATTAACTAAAGAGCCATGCCTTGATAATCAAAAAATTTGAAACAAGCTTTTTTTGTTTGAAGCTTTTACAAACTTTTTACTGAAAAAAGCTAATTTATTAATAATATAGACTTGTATTTATGAATTAATCGATTATTAAATTCAATTTGAAACTTAAACCTTCTAGGAGACCGATTCTGAAATGATTCGCGAGGCTTTTCGTGTCTTTGACAAAGACGGAAATGGCGTCATCACCGCGCAAGAGTTTCGATATTTTATGGTAAAAATTTTGAAAATTTACACGATTCTAATACAAATTGCAATTCAAAGTTCAATTCTATGTTCAATTCTAGATGCAATTCTATTAAAATGCAATTCTAGGTGCAATTCTAGGTGCAATTCTAGGTGCAATTCTAGGTGCACATGGGCATGCAATTCACTGAGGAAGAGGTCGACGAGATGATCCATGAAGTTGATGCTGATGGTCAGGAGTTTTTCTTTGTTTAATTGCTCTGTACTTGTACAATTGCTCTGTACTTGTACAATTGCCCTACACTTGTACAATTGCCCTATACTTGTACAATTGCCTTGTACTTGTACAATTGCCTTGTACTTGTACAATTGTCCTATACTTGTACAATTGCTCTGTACTTGTACAATTGCTCTGTACTTGTACAATTGCCCTACACTTGTACAATTGCCCTATACTTGTACAATTGCCTTGTACTTGTACAATTGCCTTGTACTTGTACAATTGCCTTGTACTTGTACAATTGCCTTGTACTTGTACAATTGCCTTGTACTTGTACAATTGTCCTATACTTGTACAATTGCTCTGTACTTGTACAATTGCTCTGTACTTGTACAATTGCTCTGTACTTGTACAATTGCCATGTACTTGTACAATTGCCATGTACTTGTACAATTCTTAGTGCCATTTTAGCCCTCTACTAGTCTGACAATAGAGAAAAGTCTTGTTTTTGACTGTACAAGTCATTAAAAACACCCATGGTTTTGCCATTTGATCAAACTTGAAACATCAGTTTTTGAAACGTTCAAAAATTTTGATTCATCAAGCAAAATCATTAAAACTTTAGTAACAACTTGTCTTTTGCACTTTGTCAAAAACCGGGTTTTTTGTGAATTAAAATGTTTTTCTCTATGTTTTTATCAAAGAGTACACAAAACAGATTCCACATTTCTATAGTCAAATTTGATGAGGATTCTTTTAAAGCCAACCATAAGTTGATTCAATTTCTATACCTCGAGTCATAGACCATTTAAGTTGATCAACCTCTCGAGGTAGGTAGTTGAGCTTTGACGCAAATTTTCTCTATGTTCTTACACAAGAGTATACAAAAGTTTGTAAATTACTGTTCAGCACTTTAGTTATCAATATCCAATCAATATCCAATCAATATCCAATCAATTTCAATTTTCAATCACTGATTCAATCAGATCCAATCAATTTCCAGGCGATGGTGAGATCAACTACGAGGAATTCGTCAAAATGATGTCCGATCGGTGATTTTTTGCCAAAAACCTTCAATTTGCTGTATATTTTCGCGTTTTCGCTATACGAGTTCCAAAATGGACCAAACAAATTTGCGTGAATCTCATTTTCAAAACTTCTATGAACCAAAAAAAGAAAAAACTGGATCATTCCTTTATTTTATTTCTCGATTTATTGGATTTACTGCTCTTTTTATAAAGAATTTGAAAATAAATGTTTCAAAGTTTCAAAGAAATCTAATTCACGCAAAATTCTCTAGTTATAGAGTTCTCTAGTTATAATTATAACTAGTTTCTCTAGTTATAATTATAGAAATCATAGAAAACACGAATTCTAAGGCATTTGGGTGCACCGTAGCTAGAGCACGAAATAGAGTATTATTTCGGCTGAAAAAGAGCGGCCATTTTCTTAATTACGGTATGTAAAGTCGTTTTAAAGATGAATTTACGCTTTTCAGTGTTTCATTTTATCGTAAACAGCCAAAATTTAAGGTTATCGAACGCCCCGCCCCTTTTGCCATTAGCAATCTAACTTTAAGCTCAAATTTCTAGGTGTTGGGATGGTCAATCTCGATATTCTTGATATCATTAGATGCGCCAAGTCTTTCTCTATCGATTGGTATAAAAACTATTGAAATTGGACCGCCGCACACCACGAAATTTAAGCTCAAAGTTGGATTGTTAATGGAAAAGGGGACGGGGAGCGTATAAAAGGTCCGTCGGCCCGTCCCCTTTTTAATTGAAATAGTTTTTATACCAATCGATAGAGAAAGACTTGGTGCATCTAATGATACCAATAATTTAGAAATTGAACAGGCCGCCGATGCGTTGGTTTAGGAAGGGGGGGGGGAAAGTGGGTATTGGGGGGATGAAAGATTGGGCATCTAATGATATCAATAATTTATAAATTCGACAACCCAACACCAAGATATTTGAGCTTAAAGATGGTTGGTATGGGGAGGGGGGGGGGGGGGGGGTGTTTTTTTGGGGGGGGAATGATTTGATATTTTTTTAAAAAAATTAAGAAATTTTTGTATTTTTTTTTTTATAAAAAAAAAAAAAAAAAAAATAAAAAAAAAAAACAGACACCACGAAATTTAAGCTCAAAGTTAGATTGCCAATGGCAGGGTTTTGCCAGGGCGGAGCCAATATCAAATAGCCCATAATCAAAATTTAATGGCGACAACGTGCATAGTAAACACTCGTACCAGCAAAGAAGAGATTTTCGATGAAAAAGCAAGAAACGATTTTGAAATCACAAATTTTGAAGAGGACTTGAGCTTGAGCTAAAATTTGAAACAAAAACTTTTTCAATTCTCTTCGCAAACATCTCCGCAATGCGTGCAACAAAGCTTTGCGTTCCAGAAAATCGTGCAATATCTGCAATTTCTTTTTTTGTTTAGATTATATAGTTTTTCTTGAGATAAACCTCCTCAAATGTGTCATCTTTTGAGGCATTTTTGCCACACATCGCTCGCTCACTGATCCCGCGTTTTCTGAGCGATTCTCTTCGATCGTTTCTCTTTGAACTTCTCTTTGAACTTCTCTTTGTGATGATTGATAGCTAAAGATTTGTTCTAGGATTCGCATTTTGTCAATATTCAATTTGGATTATTCAATTTGCCTTATTCGTTCATCAAAGCTCGACTGCACAAGTTTGACAGCTTTCAAAGCTTTCAAAGCTGTCAGAGTTGAAGTTAGCTTTCAAAGCTGTCAGAGTTGAAAGCTGATGAACTTTGAAAGCGGATAGATTGGATAAAAATCGAGACAAGATTACGATAGTTGCATTAGTCAACGTTTTTAAAAACACAATAGTAAACTCTATTCTCAGACTCACCCTTGAGAATTCCTTCGGTGCTCACCTCGATTCGCGGACTCTCGTTGAGCCGGGTATCTACTGAAAATTCAAATTTATGAAATGGAGATTGCCATTTTCTTTGATTGAAGCCACTCAGCAACATTTTAGATTCAAATTCTTTTCAATTCTCCACTCACGGTCTCGCGTAGTCGACCTCTTGATTCGGATAGTTGTTCTCCCGCAAAAAGTCCAACACTTCAGAATACACAGTGGTCATTCTGAAAAACAAACGGTTTTAAATTTATTCTCTCTAGTAGTAGTACATCCTGAGCGTTGCCTAAATTGCTTGAAATCTCAAGAACGGCTTATCAGAATCTATCGATGTGGGGTCGGAAAATGTAGCTGACGATGAGATCTAGTGGGGGATTTGAATATTGAGCTTCTGGGAAAACTTTGGAAGCCGTAAAATAGTCATCAACTCGGCTCACTCGTTATATACTCGTTTTCCTCCACTTCATTGTCACAATTGTCGGCTAGGCTAGGGTCAGGAACAAGTCCAGAATTAGGCCAGGCTAAGCCAGGAACAAGGACAGGAATCGGCCAGGCTAAGCCATGACAAGGCCAAAATCAGTCCAGGGTTAAACCATAGTCGATCAGGTTAAACCATAGTCGATCCCCCCCTAAGTTTATTTTTTTCTCCAATTTTTCCACCCCCCCCCGATAGGGTTTGTTAAGGGGGGTCGGGGGGGGGGCCGGGGAAAGGCCTGGCTTATTGGCCCAGGCTGGGTCAAGTAAGGTCAAAAAAAGAATAGCAAGCTATTATAGCAGATTAGAATCATGGTATCAGTCATCAACTCGGCGGGGTGCACTACTATTAGAGAGAATACGGTATTTAACTACTTTGAGTGTCGACAAATACTGATCCTTTACTGGATAATAGATCGACCAGAAAAGCTGGATAGTGAGTGATCAATTTTTAAGATGATTTTGATTATTGCTGTGGTCAAGTCAGTATAATTTTTAGATGTGCAAACGGAGAATTGGATCTAGTTTCTAAAAAGCAACTAGCTAGTAAAATTTTAAGTTTGCGAAAGAGTTTATACAAGATTGCGAACATTTCTGAAGCTCCTGTGCTCTTCTTTTTCCGTAAACTCACCGATAATTGAACTCCACAGTAAAACAGGCGGCAATTCTTGCGGTGTTGTGAAGACATTGATGAGCCCACGAACTCTGGAAATCCTTTGATCATCATTGTCTTTAAAGCAATCCAACCAAAAGCTGGATTTAAATTTGTAAAAAGATTTTTTAGTGATTTCAAAAATCATGTTTCAAATTAAATAGATTTCTAATGGGATTTGAGTTTTTAATCAGAAACGGATTTGGAGATTGGAGCTTGGAGCTTTGAGCTTTGAAATGAGCTTTGAGCTATGACTTGAGCTTTGAGCTATGAAATGAGCTTTGAACTTTGAAAAGAGCTTTAAAAAGAGCTTTGAGCTTTGAAAAGAGCTTTGAGCTTTGAAAAGAGCTTTTTTCGAGTAGAAACTCGTCTTTATGCAAGAATTTTGGAAATAAATGTTTCAAAATAAACAAACCTCAATCACCATTTTGTCATTTAATCCAATTTGTACATTTTTACGTTTTTTCTTTTCCTTTTCTCCATAAACTAACCTTACAATCCTCGATATTACAATAGCCATATCCATACGAGCCACATTGTGATGATGGAGCATCTGGACTGCAGCATTTACACTAAAAAATAAAGATTCATTGTCACAATACGTTTACACTTTATGCACATGACTCTAAGCCCGAATTTAGACCCGAATTTAGACCGTTTCTCACTAAAAACAAGTTATCGGCAATTAGGTGTAGTTTTTGATGAATTTTCATGTAGGAATGACTAAAGTAAATCGATTTTTCAATCATTTATCGGGTATTAAAAGAAGAAATCAACTTTACTGATCAATTTCAGCTTTACAGATCAGAAAAACAGATCAGTTTCAACCTAGAGCATCTCACTACACAGCCGACAATGAATCTCTGTTTAACAACGAGTAAAACCGAGTCTAGTTGATAGATTGAGCAAAATGAACAGCCCCAATCGATTCACCGACCACGAAAACCCTAGCATCTCACTAGACCGCTTACAATGAGTATCACAGTTTAACAACGAGTAAAACCGAGTCTAGTTGATAGGTTGAGCAAAATGAACAGCCCCAATCGATTCACCGACCACGAAAACCCTAGGGTACAAAGTTACAGTTAAATATCATTTTTGGGCCATCTAAAAAGCAAAGAGAAATCCCTGTCAATGACTGGAAAGGTGTTCTTTGTGCGGTCACGTAATCGCTCATCATCTGGCAATCAGGGCAATCAGTCCCCATATAAAGCTTCTTTCACGCCCTGGGGGAATGACCCTGTGGTCTAGTGGATAAGGGCCTTGTTTCCAGCACGAGCGATCAAGTTTTTTCTCAGGTTCGATCCCTCCCTTCCATTTTCATTTTCTTTTCAGGTTTAATCGCTCGAATTCCTTCTATTTTAACTTTAAAATAAGTATTTCATCTTTCATTTCATTTATTTCATTCATTTACTTTATAAATCGCTTGCCATATTTGTTAATTTCTTATTTTAAATGCCAGTTAAACTAAAATTGACTGAGATACTCAAAGTAACCCAAATCAGAATCGATCTCTTTCTCGATTTCACTTAAATTGCATACATTCTCTGACAATTTTTTGCTGACAAGATCAACCCACATCCTGGCTATTGTTAAAGTACATCTTCTGGCTCATCGACGGCTTCGCGGCGGCAATCAAATTGAGGAACACTTGGAAACGGCCTTGCTGAATTTAGGAGGATAAAATTCCGGCTGAAAATATTCATTTTTAAATGGAAAAGGCTTTAAAATTAAGTAATTTAATTCCAAAAAATAGTTTAATACAAATCTTTAGTCGATTCTCTTAAAATTACCCCTTTATTGAGCCGTTTCGTGATCTCTTTGTCTAAGCCGTTCGCCTTGTCTTTCACCATCTTCTCCAGCGTCGCTTTGCCAGGCAGAGAAATCGTTTTCTAGAGTTTTCAATGGGTAATTTGTGCTCAAATTTGTAAACACACTCTTTCTAGGGCACTTAATTATTTTCTCGAGACACCAAAAAGGTTTTAAGCAAGAAAAATGGTGAATTGAGTGCGAAAATTGCGTTTCGATTTTGTTTCGATTTTTGTTTACACAGTGTGCTTAGATTTTTGAGTACAAAGTGCGCCTCTAGAAATAGATTAGCTTCAGCTAAAGCTTAGGCGTAAGCTTAGGCTTAAGCTTAAGGTTAGGCTTAAGCTAAAGCTTAGGCTTAAGCTAAAGCTTAGCTTAGCTTAGCTTAGCTAAAGCTTAGCTAAAAGCTTAGCTAAAGCTTAGCTAAAGCTTAGCTAAAGCTTAGCTAAAGCTTAGCTAAAGCTTAGCTTAGCTTAGCTAAAGCTTAGGCTTAAGCTAAAGCTTAGCTTAGCTTAGCTTAGCTAAAGCTTAGCTAAAGCTTAGCTAAAGCTTAGCTAAAGCTTAGCTAAAGCTTAGCTAAAGCTTAGCTAAAGCTTAGCTAAAGCTTAGCTAAAGCTTAGCTAAAGCTTAGCTAAAGCTTAGCTAAAGCTTAGCTTAGCTTAGCTAAAGCTTAGGCTTAAGCTAAAGCTTAGCTTAGCTAAGGCTTAGCTTAGCTTAGCTAAAGCTTAGCTTAGCTTAGCTAAAGCTTAGCCAAAGCTTAGCCAAAGCTTATCCAAAGCTTAGCTAAAGCTTAAATTTAAGCTTTTTTCAAAAAAAACGTTTAAAACCCTAAATCTCATATTGTCTAAGAGAAAAATGACTTAAAAACAATGTTTCAAAAAAAGCTTGTTTCAATATTTTCAATGATCAAAGGACAAAAAGTGATCTAATATTTACAGGCAAAAAAACCGAAAATTGAATAGCTTTTCATTTTTAAACAAATCAACAAATGGAGCAGCTACGTTTTTGCGCAATTTTTTCCGCTTTTTTCATCCTAGTGCGTAGCTGCCCCATTTGTTCAGTCTTGCTTTGAAAATCAGGAGATTCTATTCAATTTTTCGCATTTTTTCCGCTTTCTTTTCGCTTTTTTCGCTTAAAAGCCTGTTTTAGACATTAAAAAGGCTTTAAAAATGAACAAATATTCAATTAAAAATGAAATATTCAATTAAGCAATCAGCTCAAAGCCAAATCTTTTATAAAAGTTCAAACATCGAAACGAATTTTCCATTTTTAACTCAATTTTATCATTGTTACAATCTTTTTTTTGATCTTAACCACTAATAAATCTAATCTATAATTTAAAGAAAACAATTCTAGCAACAATTTAAAATCCTATTTCTACAAAAAGCTTAAAAGCCTAAGCCCATCTTTTTCTTTATCGATTTACCTTAAACTCGTAGAAATCCGCGTTCACCGCCTCGCATTTCCCATCGGTGATCGTGTCTCCCTGCAAAATAAACCAAAGAAATATTTGTCATCTTTGCTCGCCAAACTCTACGAGTTTTTACTCACTATAAACATAATATCATTTTTCTCATAAGCTTTCCCGATATTATGTATTATATATATATATGTCGTAGCCGATTATGAATGAAATTTTTGGCAAATCTTTCTAGTAGAGCAACCCTTTAATGTATGAGGACAGTATTATATCATCCTGTAGCGAATTCAATTCTGCGTCGATTGGTACCAAATTTGTGAGTTTAGGTTAAAAATTGCCGGCGCTACAACGTTTCATTCAAAATCGGCGGGACCCCCGTAGCCGATTATAATGAGTGGGTCTAGGAGCGTCCAACCATCAAGTATTTAGTATCATTCAGCGCAGAATCATTAATAATTATGTTAAATTTTTTAAATTAGAAAGATTTGATAAAAAGAAAAAAAATTAGAGCAAAAAAACTGTTTGTTCAAGAGAAAACTTTGAAGCCCCATAATTTTTTTTCTTTTTATCCAATCTTTCTAATTTTAAAAATTTAACATAGTTATTAATGATTCTGCGTTGAATGATACTAAATACTTGATGGTTGGACGCTCCACCAACTCATTCATAATCGGCTGAAATTCATAATCGGCTACGACATATATATATAATATGCTTTATTCAGTTGAATAGCGGCAAAACAAAATGACAATAATTAACCAGGATACCACTCAAAACACACCCAAAAGATAAATAGATTCTCCACCAATTTTTGAGGTTCGACAATTTGTTGAACAGCAATTTATTCAAAAACCAGCTATAAACTAAATTACGCTATTGAAAATTGTCCAGAATGAGAATTTTTGTCAAAAATTTCTCCTTTTAAACACGATTAACCACGAAATAGCAAAATAAACCAAGAAATATTTGATTACCGTTTTTTCTCTAATAGTAGTGCACGCGTCGCCTAAATTCCTTGAAATCTCGAGAACCGCTTATCAGAACCTATCGATGTGGGATCGGAAAATGTAGCTGACGATGAGATCTAGTGGGGGATTTGAGTGTTGAGCTTCTGTGAAAGCTTTGAAGCCGTAAAATAGCCATCAACTCGGCTCGCTGGGGTGCACTACTATTAGAGAGAATACGGTAACCCTGGGGAAGAAAAGACTGACTAAAAAAGACGCGGAATGAGCCCATTTTTAACAATATATGCTGTATTCTCTCTAATAGTCTCTCTCTCTCTAATAGACACACCTCTCAACCACGTGATCCCAGTCACCGACTAAAGCCTTAACGCTCAAAAAGAAGCAAAGCTATTGAAGCAATATACCGTATTCTCTCTAATAGTAGTGAGGGTTGCCTAAATTGCTCGAAATCTCGAGAACAGCTTATCAGAACCTATCGATGTGGGGTCGGAAAATGTAGCTGACAATGAGCTCTAGTGGAGGATTAGATTGTTAAGCTTCTGTGAAAGCTTTGGAATCCGTAAAATACTCATCAACTCAGCTCGCCAAGGTGCACTACTATTAGTGAAATTAGAGAAAATACTATTATAGGTATACAAAAGATCAAGTCCGCAGATCTTTGCACAAATTTAAACATCAATTTCTTAAAAACCAATTTAAGAACACTTTTTATTCTATCATTTACAAAACGATTTCAAGAAATTACTCAAAGTGCAAAACCTAAATGAAAAAGCCATCAAATTTCAATGACTCTTATACAATTTTCAAGACTTTTCAATGCTCAAAGATCTCTTTTTGGAATTTTCTTGATAATGGACTCAATGAGGGAAATCCGCTTAACGAAAAAACGCTTTGAAACTCAAATTTTCATAGTTTCTTTTTTTTTGAAATGAAGCGTTTTCTTATTTTTTCAACTTTATTCTCTTTGATTTTGTCCAGTGAATTGGATTGTCCCGTGAATTGGTTGCCCGTTGATTCGCACGAGCTTTGTCTTTACATTGGAAAAGATGGTTAGTTCAGGAGAATTGCAAAATTTGAAGATTTTTTTAGGTAAACTAGTTTTTGGTTGATTTGAAAGTTAAGCCTTTTGATACTTTACACAGTTAAACGTTTAAAAAGCCTCCTATAAACATAGAGGATGCCAAAATAAATAAATAAATACCGTATTCTCTCTAATAGTAGTGCACCCCGGCGAGCCGAGTTGATGATTGATAATGATACCATGATTCTAATCTGCTATAATAGCTTACCATTATTTTTTTGAGCTTACTTGACCTTACTGGCTTTTTTTGACCTAACTGGCTAATAAGCCAGGGCCTGATCGACTATGGTTTAACCCTGGACTGATTTGGCCTGGTTTTGGCCTGGTTTTGGCCTGGTTTTGTGGCCTGGTTTTGGCCTTGTCGTGGCTTAGCCTGTCCGGTTCCTGTCCTGGTTCCTGACCTAGCCTGGCCTAATTCTGGACTTATTCCTGGCTTAGCCTGGCCGAATCCTGTCCTTGTTCCTGGCTTAGCCTGGCCTAATTCTGGACTTGTTCCTGGCCCTAGCCTGGCCGACAAATGCGACAATGAAGTGGAGGAAAACGAGTATAAAATACCGTATTTTCTCTAATAATAGTGCACCCCAGCGAGCCGAGTTGATGCCTACTTTACGGCTTTCAAAGTTCTCCCAGAAGCTCAACACTCAAATCCCTCACTAGATCTCATCGTCAACTGCATTTTCCGACCCCACATCGATAGGTTCTGATAAGCGGTTCTCGAGATTTCGAGCAATATAGATGGGTGCACTACTATTAGAGAGAATACGGTAGATTGCTTAAATAGCTTTGCTTCTTTTTAAGCGTTAAAGCTTTAGTCGGTGACTGGGATCACGTGGTTGAGAGGTGTGTCTCAATGGGTGGATATCCGGCGATAATCACCGACGCTTTCATCAACTCAATGATTCGCGATGAGCTCACCAAAGGTGGGATGATGAATGCATTTGGCACTATGAACTATAAAGCTATAAAAATAACAAACTGTCACGATAAAAACGCTTCTAAATTGCTTTAAATCTGCTGGATTGACACGATCTATAGCTCAAAAAATAGTGAAACTCAAGAGCTTTCGAATTGAGTAAAGCAAATCCAAAAATATGAATGCTAAAGGAAGTTACAGTGATCGGATTTAAAACGGACTGTATTTGCGTGTAGTCGAAGCAGAGTCAAGACTACAAACCACTGTAACTTTCTAAAGATAAAGATATGAATGCTAAAGGAAGTTATAGTGGTTAGAAGATGGACCGTACTATAAAACTACGTTAAAAGATGGACCGTACTTGCGCGTAGTCGAAGCGATCGAATCTAGATACAAACCACTAACTAAAAACTATAAACCACTACAAACGAGTCTAGCTACAAACCAAAAACTAAAACACTTTCTTTAACACAATTTTGATTTGACTTTCTTGGGTTTTCTTAAGCTTTCTTAAGCTTTCTTTAGCTTTCTTTGACTTTCTTTGGCTTTCTTGGGCTTTCTTTGGCTTTCTTTGGCTTTCATCATCGTCAAAGTTTGACTACGCGATTGTACAAAAGGTTTGTGTGTTAGCTGTTGTTGCGTTAGCTGTGGTTGCGTTAGCTGTGGTTGCGTTAGCTGTGGTTGCGTTAGCTGTGGTTGCGTTAGCTGTGGTTGCGTTAGCTGAGGTTGCGTTAGCTGTTATTGCGAAACCGGAAAGCCAAAAAATAACTTTTCCGTGAATGCGTTAAACGAATCGTGCTTTTCCAGCCGGAATCTCGGAAGCTTATATCGGTGTGACGAGATACGATGACGATTGGCGGTACGCTAATGGGAAAAATCTCACGTACAAGCGATGGAATAATGGTTAGATTTGAAATTAAGCATATAAATGTTCATTTTCAACAACCCATCATCAATTTTTATATAGCCAATTTTTATATAGCCATTTTTATATAGCCAATTTTATATAGGCAGCTAGAATTTTTTAAGGAGAACCAAGAAAAGATGAGTACAAGGGATTGTTTGATGTTTCGTTTGGTGGTTGGAAAACGACTGACGATTTCCAGAATTACTCCTACGTTTGCACGCAAAGTCGGTTTTTTTCTTGCTGAATTTTGTGAATTTCGTAAAAATCCGAAAGAAAACAAAGATTTAGACCCGAACAAAGTGAAATGTGACCCGGGATGGACACCGTTTGGCGATTTTTGCTACTGGAGCTCGGTGAGTGAAGGAATTTGTTTAAATTACCACCAAAATCTTCTAGGGTTTCACGTTTTCCGATGGAAAACACTGGAATCTCTTCAATTTCACGCAAGCCGAGCAAAAGTGCCGAGAATTGGATGTGCATTTGGCGTCCATTCACAGCCAGGCCGAGCTTGAGTTTATCTATGGTTGGTGAAGAGGAGGAAAAGACAGAAGATGTAGAAGAAGACATTATATGCTTAGTTTGTTTATGCCTAATTTCTTTATGCATAATTTCTTTTAAGCATATAATTTCATTTAGCATTATAATCATTATAAACATTTTCTCTCTAATCCATCTTGAGCGTTGCCTAAATTCCTCGAAATCTCGAGAACCGCTTATCAGAACCTATCGATGTGGGGTCGGAAAATGTAGCTGACGATGAGATCTAGTGGGGGATTAGGGTGTTGAGCTTCTGCAAAAGCTTGGGAACCGTAAAATAGTCACCAACTTGGCTCGGCCGGGCGGAGGGGGGAGGGCAATACTAAGAGGCCGGGCGGAGACCAAGTAACCCCGCGTGTCCTAAATTCCTCGAAATCTCGAGAACCGCTTATCAGAACCTATCGATGTGGGGTCGGAAAATATAGCTGACGATGAGATCTAGTGGGGGATTAGGGTGTTGAGCTTCTGGGAGAACTTTGGAAGCCGTAAAATAGTCATCAACTCGGCTCGCCAAGGTGCACTACTATTAGAAAGAATACGGTTTTCTAGCTTGACTTATGAGGGTAGACTTGCTCTTTTTCTGCTGCTCTAAACTGCTCTAAACTTGCTCTTTTTAAACTAAAAACTAAAAGACTTTTAAAGCTAAAAACTTTACAACATCGTCACTTTCATATTGATCTAGTCGAAACCTTCAAAATCCTGCGTTGCACTGTTTAAATGCAAATTTTCGGAAAGCTTGTTATTAGGATTTCTTCTGATTAGAATTTTTACGGTAAATTCCTCATTTTTTTTCTTGTTTCTAATTAGAATGCTTTAAACACGTGTAAATTTTGATCGAGTAGTGCATAGCGAAAACTGAAAGGATATTTCCGACCCATCTTAGAATATGCTTCTATTTTTTGGTCTCCCCGTTGACAAGAGACTTGTGAACGGGGAGACCAAACAATAGAAGAATATTCTAAGATTGGTACCGTATCCTCTCTAATAACCCGGCGAGCTGAGTTGATGACGATTTTACAGCTTTCAAAGTTTTCACAGAAGCTCAACACTCGAATCCGCCACAAGATCTCATTGTCAGCTACATTTTCCGACCCCACATCGATAGGTTCTGATAAGCGGTTCTCGAGATTTCGAGGAATTTAGGCGAAGCTTAGGGTGCACTACTATTAGAGAAAATACGGTAGTCTATATGCCTACGAAATTCAGCCGTTAACGAATGATTCGTTAGCGACTAGTCGAAATTGTATATATTGCTCGTAATGGCTTAGATTTAATCGCCACAAATCTAACCGAAGCTCAAGCCGACGCGGCAGTCACCGACGAGAATGGATGCACGCATATGTGGGCGTGAGTTTCAAAAAAAGTTCAATCTCAGCTTATTTACAGCTTTATTACAGCTTATTTAAGCTTTATTTAATGTTTAGTTTTTAAAAGACAACTTCAAACTATCTTTTTCTTTTTAATAATCGTCTTTTTTCTTTTGAAAATTAAAGGTTTATTCGAAGAAATTCAGCTGAAATTGAAATGGTCAACCCTTGAAATTCGAAATTTGACCATATGACGACTATTAGAAAGCTTATTAAATTTCGAGTTTCAATGGTTGACCATTTCTCTACAAATTTGGTTCCTTTTCTTTACAAAGTTATGATGAAAGATCGAAGATAAGATTATTGCAAAAATTTTTGAGATTAGAGATTTGAGATTCATTGATTAGCGTCAAATGAAGCTAGAGAAGTAGGCAAAAGTAGCAAATTCGCTAAAAAATGCACAAGAAACTTCATCTTTCAGTTGGTCAGGTCTCTATCATAATGGGGTAAAGAATTACACGACATGGACAGACGGGACACCCTTGGATTTCGTAGGGAAATCGGCTGCCGTCTGCTATCAAACAGCTGGAATGGTGGTAGGAGAAAAGATTGAGAAAAGCTTGAAAAAACTCTGATTTCATCTTATAATCTTAGTTTTTTGATCGTAAACTTATCTACTAATAAACAAAGCGCTAAAATTATGACCAACTTATTAAATTTCGAGTTTCAAGGGTTGACCATGTTCCTTTATAGTTCCTATTTGGTTCCTTTAAAGTTCCTTTATAGTTCCTATTTAGTTCCTTTATAGTTCCTATTTGGTTTCTTTAAAGTTCCTTTATAGTTCCTTTATAGTTCCTTTAAAGTTCCTTCAACAATTCTCTACAAATTTGGTTCCGATTAAACGACTTCCAATGCCATTCATAATTGTTTTTATTCTTTAAGTAAGACTATGGTCTTTAATTAAGGTTTGACATAAATTAAGATTTTTAGTCTCCAGCTCCAACCCAAGGATTCGAACTCAAACCAAAAAAAGCTACTTAGATTCCGTAGACTAGCACACTATCCACTATCGAAGCCATTGGGTCTAGCCAGGATTTTGTGACTTTCAGTCTAATCAGAGCTTGATCCCGGAAATCCCGAGCTTAATCAAAAATTGGAGTTTTGAATGTTGGAGAAATTTGGAGGTGATTGGAGATAGCCTCGAGGAGGTTAGACTGCTGTTAGACTGCTAGACTGCTAGACTGTTAGACTGTTAGACGGCTAGACTGTTAGAGCTGTTAGACTGTTAGCGCTGTTAGAGCTGCTAGACTGTTAGACTGTTAGACTGTTGACTGTTAGACTGTTAGACTGTTAGACTGCTAGACTGTTAGACTATTAGATTGTTAGAGCTGTTAGACTAAAAGTCGCGAAATCCTGGCATGTTTAAGACCAAAGCATTAACAAAATCTACAAAAAATGATCAGAAGATAAACTTCAGCTTTTTATATCTCGATTTCAATTTTAATTTCAATTTCAATTTCAATTTCAAATTTCAGATGCTAAACGATTTCGGTGATTGCTACGATTTGACGGGACCGAGTGGACACGAATATTGGGAAGCCGCACTTCCACTAGCGCGTTATGTTTGTAAAAAAGAACCGAATCAATAAAAAGTTGCGATAAAATAAAAACAATATATTGGGTTGGTGAATTGAAAACTGCGGGCTATTGTCATATGTGACAGTTTGAGCACTTTGAAATTGTTGAAATATAGATTCAATAACGGATGTCCAAAACTGAATTGATTCAATAACGGACGTCCAATATTGAATAGATTTTTTTTAAAAATACCGACTGGGGCTACCAGTGGTGAATCTATCGCATACACGAAATATATCAATCACAATACAACGACACACACAATACCAGGCTATATCTTAACTTAACCCACGTCATGACAGACGGCTCCCTAACCCTAAGCTCAATGGGGAACTAAATAGCTTTTTTGGTGGTGAAGGGAAGATGACGATGAAGGAGTGGCTTGTCACTTTAAAGAACTGGGGCCACAACCACCAGACTGCCCTCCAGAAAACCTCTCAACCCGAAGGGAAAGGAAATCCGAAGGGGGTGACCATGTCGCATGTGGGGTTCGAACCCTCGACCTTCCGATTAAGATAAAAGACACTTAACCAGTCAGCCACACGTGCTTTTCAATAATGATTCAATAACGGATGTCCAAAACTGAATTGATTCAATAACGAACGAAATTCAGCAACGGACGTAACAGATACATTTCTTGGCTAATCAGCACATCAGCAGATTTATGGAATTGGGAAAGCAGATTAAAAACTTGAACATTTTTCACCGAAACTAGGTGAATACCGTAATATTAGTGCCCCCCATAATGACGTACAGTTGCGTAATCGCTAAAGTAAATCATTTTTTTTGAATTCGCCTAGAAGGCCTATAACTTTGTCCAGAGATAATATTTTTGCAAACTTTTTATATCATTGTATAGAGGGCAATTCAGGCTTTCAAATGATACCAAATAGAGCTTGATTGGAGAATCCAGTCCAAGAAAATCAGAATTAAGCTTTAAAATATTGTGTTTCAAGTGAGTTCTTGAGTTGTTTAATGTTAATTGATTATTTAAAAGATTTCCAAACCTCACGATCAGGCAAAAACACATGATCTTCGTTGATTTTCGACTCAACCGCTTTCGAGACAGAACAAAGATCACAGTAACGACTGAAATCAAAAATATTTTGATAGCTATAACTGACTAACTAATTTTTTTGATTTATTATTGATTGATCTATTGATCTATTGATTTTTTTAAAGACTAATATCTAAGAAGAGAATGTGATTAATCGTAGATTGATTGATTATTGATTGGTGACTATTGATTGAGATCTATTGATTGAGATCTATTGATTGATGACTATTGATTGATGACTATTGATTGATGACTATTGATTGAGATCTATTGATTGAGATCTATTGATTGATGACTATTGATTGATGACTATTGATTGATGACTATTGATTGAGATCTATTGATTGAGGTCTATTGATTGAGATCTATTGATTGAGGTTTATTGATTGATGTCTATTGATTGGTGACTATTGATTGGTGACTATTGATTGAGGTCTATTGATTGATGTCTATTGATTGATGACTATTAATTACCATCTTTGTTTCCCATTTTTCTTTGCTCACTTTGAAACAAGATTAACTTAACAGACTTGTAACTGTTTTTATTGCTTTATTTTTACCTTTTTTGCCTTTTTTAAGATTTTTTTCACTCACCAATACTGTCGCCCATTTCTTTCGACAATCCCCGAGTTAGCGTCACATTTCTGAGATAATAACCCCGTCTCAGGGATCATCGGATACGGTAAATCGAAGCGCATACCTGAAGAAAATGTAAATTTGAGAAAAGTGAATTGTTAGAAAAGTGAAAAGTTAATTTCTGGTGAAACGAGCTGTTCACAACGTTAACTTTATTTCAATAAATTCAGTTATTAACTCAGTATTTAAAGAAATCTTATTAAACTGTTTAAAAAGTCTTTTCGCTCTTTTTCTGCTTTTGTTTAAAACCAACAAATGCACCAATTGAACTACGGTTTTAAAAGCTTTGAAAAAAAGAATTAAAAGAAAAAATTTAAGTCTCAAATTTACTGAGATAAAGGTATGGTTTTTAAAATCGATCCAGTCCAAGAAAATCAAAGTCAACTCTAAGCAAATGAGGCCTATCCGACTCGGGTGTCGTGTCGCCTGGTTTGCATGTGAATGAAAAATCCAGTCAAGCTCGATTTGGTAACTTTATGTTTCACTTTTGTGAAGATTTGAGTGATTCAGATTACGACTAATTTGCATCAACTTCTTTTTACTCATTTCTATAAATTTGTGAACAAATCTTCATGCATAATCATCTTCATTATCAAAAATTTTCAAGGCTATAATCTTTTAAAGTTAAGTTAAAGTTAAGTTAGCAAAGTAATTCGAAATCATCTTTATTTTTAAGTTTTTCAAAGCTGTAACCTTTTAAAGTTGAATTAGATATTTAGATAATCCAGGATATCCAGGATATCCAGGATTCAGATAATCCAATCCAAGAAAATCAGAGTTAACTCTAAGCAAATGAGGCCTATCCGACTCGGGTGTCGTGTCGCCTGGTTTGCATGTGAATGAAAAATCCAGTCAAGCTCTATTTGGTATCATTTGAAAGCCTGAATTGCCCTCTGTACAATGATAGAAAAAGTTAGCAAAAATATTGTCTCTGGACAAAGTTATAGGCGCTCAAAGTGTAATGACCCGTTCAAAATACCCGAAAACTACGCAAGAGCCAACTTTTCTTTATGTTTATGATAAACTCCCACCTGCTGGCCCTTCAATGATCGGTACTTGCAACGTGACACCGATTTCGCCAGCCAGAAACCCGAAATCCTTTTGGACTTTAAGATTTTTAAAGTGAAGCGAGTAGTTGCCGGGTGCTCGAATGTAGTAGGCCTAAAATTGTAGAAAGAATAAAAGAAAAGCTCAAAATCTTTTTAAACAAACCCTATTCCCTTTCTCGTTGATGATATTGATGTCCTCTTCCGAGATTTTAATCTCATTTTTCACTAAAGTTTTAGTTTTTTAAATTTGCCTTTTTTAATTTGAAACTTAAACATTTTAACTAGATGTAGTCAACGATTTAATTCAATGATCCTACCAGACTGCTAGCTCGGGTTAAAGACTAAGCCATGCATATCGTCGGATATCTGGTTGATCCTACCAGACTGCTAGCTTGGGTTAAAGACTAAGCCATGCATATCGTCGGATATCTGGTTGATCCTACCAGACTGCCAGCTTGGGTTAAAGACTAAGCCATGCATATTCTAGCTCGGATATCTGGTTGATCCTACCAGGTTGTCACCTCAGGCTAAAAGACTAAGCCATGCATATCTTAGTTTAACTAAATCATTGAGTCTTTTGAAAATTTCGTGTTTCAAGTTTTTTCGAATCAAACAATAATTTTGATTGTAATACATTTCAAGCATAAAATTCACAATTTCAAAGAAAAAATGAAAGCTTTTATTTTATTAGAGTGCTCGAGTACAATTTTACTTTAAATATACTTTTACATGCCGTAAATACTGTAATAGACCCCCCCCCAAAATTAAAAAAATAAAAAATTTTAAAAAAAAAAAAAAAACCCCCCCCCCCCCCGGGGGGGGGGGGGGGTTTTTTTTTTTTTTAGGGGGGGGGGGGGGGGGGGGGGGGGGGGGGGGGGGGGGGGGGGGGGGGGGGGGGAAAAAAAGAAAAAAAAAAGAAAAGGGAAATTAAAAATTTAATTTTAAAAAAATTTAAATATTTAAAAAATAAAAAAAATAAAAAAAATTTAAAAAAAAAAAATTTTTTGATTTTTTGGGTTTTTTTTTTTTTTTTTTTTTTTTTTTTTTTTTTTTTTTTTGGTTTTTTTTTTTTTTTTTTTTGGGGGGGGGGGGGGGGGGGGGGGGGGGGGGGGGGGGGGGGGGGGGGGGGGGGGGGGGGTTTTTTTTTTTTAAAGGGGGGGGGGGGGGGGGGGGGGGGGGGGGGGGGGGGGGGGGGGGGGGGGGGGGGGGTGGGGGGGGGGGGGGGGGGGGGGGGGGGGGGGGGGGGGGGGGGGGGAAGGAATAAAAAAAAAAAAAAAAAAAAAAAATAAAAAAAATTAAAAATTTTAAAAAAAAAAATTAAAAAATTAAAAAAAAAAGGGAGAAAAAAAAAGGAAAAAAGAAAAAAGAAAAAAAAAAAAAAAAAAAAAAAAAAAAAAAAAGGAATAATAAAAAAAAAAAAAAAAAAAAAAAAAAAAAAAAAAAAAAAAAATTTTTTTTTTAAAAAAATTTTTTTTTTAAATTTAAAAAAAAAATTTTTTTTTTAAAAAAAAAAAAAAAAAAAAAAAAAAAAGGGGGGAAAAAAGGAAAGGAAAAAAAAAAAGGAAAAACCCACCCCCCACCCCAACAACCCCCCCCCAAAAAAAGGGGCCCCCCCCCCCGGGCGCACCCACAAAAGGAAAGAAGCCCGGGGGGGGGGGGGGGCGGCCGCCCGGGGCCCCACGAGCTCACATTTGGAGAACGATAAAGAAAGCTTTTAAACACAGGCAAATCGGGATCAATTTTTGCATGTCCTCGCTTTACAGGGCTCCACTGGAAAAACTAAAACCTAATTCAGAATCAGTGTAAAAAGTTCTATTAGGTAGACTAGGTCTTTGAACCACCACCTTGACCTTTCCCTCGTAAGCCCTAAGAGAAGAAGTAGAGAAGTAGAGAAGTCCGCCATTAAATGTCATTAAGTTTTAGAGAAGTATAGAAGTAGAGAAGAAATATAGAGAAAAAGCTAAAAGATATGGGAAAAAGGAAACCTAATTTAGTCGGCGGGATTGAACATTCCGATACACCCAACCTCTCGACTAAGATACAAGGATCTTAGCCATTCGGCCATCGTCGTAACGAATGCAAGACGATCAAAGTGTACTAATGAACCATCGACATTACATTAAAGTACAGCCATTAAAGTTTTCTCAATAACCCACCTCCTCGACACGAATAAACGCTCACTTCATCGATGAGAATAAACAAATCATCATCAGCATATTGACAATAAACAATGCTCAACGAAAACAATAGTAACCAGTGAATATTCATTGATCAGAAAAGACGATCGAACCCGTTTCTTCAGAATTTATAGCTTTAACAAATTAGCTTAATCAGTGAGACGTCTACAACCAAGTGAAACACTTTTTTCTGATCGAAGTTGCCAATAGGGGAAATGGCAGACGATTGAATGGGGGGAAAGATGAGAAGAAGTGAAGAGATTAGCCGAACCGGATCTCTTTGCGAAAAGAGAGAATATGGTTGTGGGGGAAGTCGAACCGGCTCTTCTCCTTCTCGTGAGTCTGTGACGCTAACCACTTGGACAAGCTAATCCTGTAAAATGAGTAAAGAGTTCGTTCGTCAAACTTTTTCTTTTCTAAAATTTGTCTTCTTTCTCTTTCTATCGTCTTTATTTTATACAATCTACCGTATTTTCTCTAATAGTAGTGCACCCTGAGCCTTGCCCAAATTCCTCGAAATCTCGAGAACCGCTTATCAGAACCTATCGATGTGGGATCGGGAAATGTAGCTGACGATGAGATCTTGCTGGGGGATTAGAGTGTTGAGCTTCTGCAAAAGCTTGGAAAGCATAAAATAGTCACCAACTCAGCTCGCCGGGGTGCACTACTATTAGAGAAAATAAGGTATCTACTTTTTACATCTTTCAATATCCTTTCTGAATTCACACTGAATCAAACCAAAAGGTGGCTAAAAATGAAGACGATAAAGGCTAGAAAGATAAAGGGGGAAACATTTTAGAAAACTCAGTTGAGGGAGGCAAAAGTGAAAACGTTTTAGAGAAAAGTTGTTGTAAAAAGTAAAGCCGTAAATCTCTAAAAGAGAAAGAAAACAGAAAGAAATTCAAAAAGTTACTAATAGTAAGTTTCTAGAGTTTCTAAAGTATTCTAAAAGTTTTCTACGCCATTAAATGTCATTAAGTTTTAAACAAAAGATACATTGAAACGGGGGTGGGACAAATGCGACCTTTTTTTTGCGCACCTGGACATTTGCGCACCTTTTTTTGCTGGAAAAGGCCTTAGGCAAGGCCGCAGAGCTTCGAAAATGTTTCCACGTAAGGGAATCGTATGCGTAGATGCGTAGGAATTCGAAATTTCGACAAATCAGACCTCGCTGACACGTCAAATTTGGGCTAAAAGGCTAAAACTGCGGAAAAGCGTTAAGTTGCGTAGTTTTTGCCTTTTAGCCCAAATTTGACGTGTCAGCGAGGTCTGATTTGTCGAAATTCGGAATCTACGCATACGATTCCCTTCTATGAAAACATTTTTGAAGCTCTACGACCTTTCCTAAGGCCTTTTCCAGCAAAAAAAAAGGTGCGCAAATGTCCAGGTGCGCAAAAAAAAGGTAGCAATTGTCCCCCCCCATTGAAACTGAAAAAATGAAAACATGTTGAAAATTTCAAAAAAATAACAAATTGGAGGGTTTGTAAGAAAGTTATAAGAAGGTAAATTTCAACCTATTCAACCTTATGCCAATCTTTCCTAAACGATAAAACGATTCGTTCTTTGCTCTTTATAACTTTTATTTCTTTTAGTTCTTTTATTTCTTTGTCCCTAATAACTTTTCTATAAAATGAAAATAAAATCATAATGTTTTAAAAGCATTGAAAAATGAAAAAAAAAATGAAGACAATAGAAAGAGAAGGGGGGAAAGCTTTTAGAAAACTCAGTTCAGGCAAAAGTGAAAACATTTTAGAGAAAAGTTGTTAGGGACAAAGAACTAGAAGAACTAAAAATTATTAAAGAACTCAAAAAGTCAAAGACAAATAACTATATTTCTCCTTTAAAAATACTATTTGAAAAGACTAAAAGGACTAAAATTTATCAAAGAACAAAGAAAAAAAGAGGTTAAAGCTTAAAGCTAAAAGCTTAGAGCCTAAAAGCTTGAGCTTAAAAGCTTGAGCTTAAAATGTTAACTTTATACACATATTTTTTTTCTATTCTTGCAAAAATCGATAGAGAACCAGTTACCTGACTAGTGGAGACAATAAAAGCCAAAAAAAAGAGACAATCCAAATCCACTATATTCTTTTTTCCTTTTTTGACAATTGACGGATATCTAGTTATTGTGTTGTCTATGTATTGTGTGAATTGGATTATCGATACATATGCAAATCGAGTGTGCATCAAATTGAATAGGATAACGGTTGTTCAAGCGGAAACAAAAAAAAAATGGATTTACAAGTAAAATGGCATCGAAAACTGTTGAAGTAGTCTAGAAACTGGAGAGTAAATTAATTGTAAGGAAATTGTCAGTTCAAATTTTTTCCTACAATTCCAAAGTTGTGGAAGGATTGAAACTTTAAAGCTGAAATTTTGGTCGTTAAGGTTGAAACATTCATTTAAATTTCAAAACGAGATTTTGATATCGATCAAAGAAAGGTATCGATCAAAAGGAGAAGCTAAAGAGAGAAAATTCTTTCCGAAAGAGTTTTGCCGAATGAACGAATGCAGAAATCGAAAGCCGATCACAAAAAGAGTTCAGAAAAGAGAAAGTGAGAAGGATTTGATCGTTCCTTTTCATTCAAAGAGTGACAAGAAAAGAGATAAAACAGGTCAAAACTTCGGTCTATCTTTCTCCTTTCTACCAGCCCTGGATGTTTCAATGACAAAAGCTTGAAAAAATGGAAGGTTTTTATTGAAGTATCTAATTGTTTATTTTTGTAGCACACATTTATCAATCACTGACTAAATATCCAGTTATCTAAAACACACAAATTCAATTCTTTTAAATCTAAAAAAGCAAATCACAGATCAAAGTATCAAGCAAGAAACTAAAGACGAACTAAGAGAATAAATAGAAATTTTAAAAATCAGCAAAATTACATACAATTCTTAAAGAAGAGTCTTGATGAATTCGATTGCCGACGTGAATTGTGTCCACCAGTACAAATCCGAGCCGGCCATATGGGAACGACAGAAATTTTGCACATATTGAACATTCGACAAGAGAGCCGGTGGGTTAGCCTAAAATAAATAATGAATTTGCCACATAAGAACGCTTTGAAAAACTTATTAGCATTTGATTAACAAGGTTGTCACAAAGAATACCTGTATCAAAACGTAGACAAGAACTGGAGTGAGATCATCAGCAGATGCGGGGCCGGTTTTCGGCGCCAAAGCGATCAAATTCGAAATGGTGCTACACGCTCGAACAACGCACTAAAATTTGGTTTTGGTATTTAACAACAAAACAGTTACCTGTAATTTATCTCTGGGACTCTTGTAGGCGTTAAGGATTTCAATATCAGCTTGAGCTGATGGCCATGGTGCCTCGCCTTGTAGTTCCTAGGGAAAATATAAAATAAACCGATCCTGAAACCAACAAACCTTGGGAATGTGCAACATCGGATGATCAGGCGTTATTGTGCGCGCCAATTTACTCAACGACCGGTGCAATGCACTGTAATTAGATGATATGATTCTACATATTTAAACTCACTTATCCCGATGAATATCTGCATCTAAATTCGGATAAAAAGCAAAGTTGTGAATTGGCACCATCACGGATCGTTCAACGGTTTTGTTTGCAAAATCCAACTGAAACCACACAATATCGAATTACCTAAAAAATTAAACCATTTCCTCTGTCGCATCTTTCCACATGGGACTCTCCGAGAGACATTTTGCGAGACTCGTCAAAGTTTTATGAAGCAAATCGGTGCGTTCATCCTAAACTAAAAAGTCTTGATAAACAAGTCGGAGTACCTGAACTTGTAGTTGCTTGAACGCATCAAATAGCTTCGTGTGCGAATGACCGTGATTGTCCAAGAAGAATTTGATTAGAAACTCCACAACACATTCACGAGTCAAAGTTTGTTCTCTAAAAAATTAATAAATAACATCTGAAAAAAGCTGAAATTTTGCCTACTTTTTAACTCGTTGATCGAGCCGTTGAATTTGCGTCAAAAGCCGAAGCAAAGTTAGACGTGATTCTCGCAAGTAGACCACATAAGCCGTTCGTTCATGGTGTTCGTCTCGCAAAATGGTCAACAGCTTGCAAATCCTAAACAAAGGAATAACAAGAACAGACAAAACACAAACCCTTTGTCATCAAAAAAGTTAAGAACACGTATCACTTCGCGAATGTGGGCAGAAAGGACCTAAAATTGGTCCTTTCTGCGTAAGAATTTATGGGTTGCAACTTACATAATTTTTACCATTTATTGGCCTTTAGTTGTGCACTATTCAAAAAATACCTGTTCTCTCGTGTTTATCGCCTCGGCAAGAAGTACCCGCAAAAGTCTCAATAGTTGAAGCCGTTCTGACGAGAATTCTACAATATTCACGGTTTCTCTAAAATTTGTAGAATAAAATAAATTCTAAACATTCTTACACTTTTGAACATAAAATAAATGATGGTAAAGTCCCGATGTTTCCAAGAACATGACGTAATTTTCTCTTGGCGTCAATGAACGCTTGACACTGGAGTAAGTTTTCCGAATCATAATATAGCACCTGTAACAAAATTATTAAACAAGTTAATGCTAATGTTACATTTTGTGGCGGTACATTGATTTCTGGTAGATCATTTGAAGCATCAATCAACGTCATTGGTGATTCTCGAATCCGGTACTCGTTGAGAATATCGTCGACCGATTGTTGAGTAACTAAAAGAGCAACTAATTAAACATTTTTCAAAAAATTACCTGCATTTGCGGGATGGCTCCCCGCAACTACCATCCCCGATTCACTTCTTCGAGGCTTTTCAACATCAATTGCCCATTCACTTAGAAACGATTCGAGAATATCCGAAGTCGTCGAGGAATGGTGAATCTAAATTTTGCATACAAGATAGATATTTCTTTGAAAGCCACCTGTCGCCACGAAGTTTCCTGTCTTTGAGCGATTGGACGTGGAGGTATCATTGGTGGAGTCACAATGCCCATTGATGGTCGAGGTGGAAGTCGTGGCATCTTCCCCGGGGTCTCAGCAACATTCGCATTTGTCAATCCCTCGATGAACTTGTTTTCTGGTTTTAATCCGAGCAGCTCATCGCCAACGTTTAATCTAAAAATAAAATTCTTCAAGATCACTTAAAGCTCATCGAATCACCTGAAGACCACAATATCGAAGTATTCGGGCGGTAGCTCAATTGTCGGAATCGGTACCTCGTTAGCAGATGGTGTACGTTGCAAAATTAATAAATTTCTGGCACTTTGAACCTAAAAAGAAACATTTTAATCAAAATTATCACAGAACATACCTTTTCTGTAAGTTGTCTCATCTTTGTTCCCCGTCGGCCGTTTACGTTTTGTAGTGGCGCCTGATTGATCGGCGTGGAGAAGAAAGCCGGCATTCGTTTTACGTATTCCTAAATTGTAAAGTTGAAAGCATCAATCCCAATTCTATCAAAGCAAAACATCACCTTAATACTTTTGCTAACTTTTCCATCTTTAATCATCTCAGTTGCCGAGCTTCGTACAGCACAAAGAATCGAGTTGATCTGAAAGGTTAATAAAATGTAAACGTTATTAATTAGATACCTCATGTAACGATCCAAGAAAATATGTCCTTCTCAAAAGTTCTTCGTTATCGTTGGAACTTGTGATAACCGGTGTAAACATTGCATCAAGCTCAGGTAGGCTCCGATTCAACAAATTTCCTACGAGATCACAAATCGAGCTCTAAATTAAAGCTTTCATTCGTTGCTAAAAAACAAAAACTTACCTCTTTAAAATGTGATGAAAGAAATTGCATGTTCGGTGACGGTTGCTCATATTTCAACAATACCAGTGTTTGAATGAGTTGACCCATTTGCATCAAATTAAACCTAAAAGAAAAATTATGTGCAAAAAAGATCAAAATGTACCTTGGAATGCGACCGATCGGTGTATCACTTATGATGCCAAGACTCTCCGGATTGGTGATGGCTGGGCAGAGTAGATTGGTGACAACCAAATCCGTGCAGATCAATTTCGCTTGGTCTCTTGTTCTTCCAACATCAATGAGCAACTTGTACATTTGTTGAACAAGCCATGTTAAACTCGTTGGAAAGCATACCAATGAATCGCTAATTCCTGAAATCATGTTTTTATTTAAAACCAAAAAGGTTTTTAATTTTATATACCTTTAACAAAAGCATGTGCAACTTGAACAAGTCTTTCCTGAATAATTTTCCTGTGCTTGGCAGTCTTCGCTTGATATTCTGCACTTTCCGGATCGACACCTAAGCAACAAAATAAAACCTAATAAAAAGCTCAAACCAAATAGTCTCTGTCTTTCAGCTGTTGGAAAACGTAGTGGAGATTTTGCCGGATCAATGTCGAGAAATATCTCATCTTGGCAAAGAACAAGCATGACTGGGTCATGCAACGCTGAAGTTAGAAACACCTAAAAACAATAAACGACGCAAAACAGACAAAAAACTTTTGCCGAAAACAAGTTCTCGGTGAACAATTTGTAGAGGCAACAAAAAGCGGAAGTCCCTTTTCTAATGGAAAGACGAGGATTCGGGTGTGGAACAACTTGCAAATCTAAAATCACGAAATTCTTTACTTTTAAAAACAAATACCAATTAGATATTTTAGCACATCGAGTATCCTGCGTTCATCACTCGGAAATATACAATGTCCATAAACCATTGAGAAAATCGCTCCCATAACCTCTTCAGTTGTCATGCTTTCATTCTAAATAATTAGTGATTAAATAGTATAGGTCTACAATACGAACTTGAGTTAAAGTTTCACATCCATTTAGAAATTCAGCGGTGGCTCTGGGCGACTCAGAGAACAAGCGCAGAAGAGCTTCAAAACTTGAACTATGATATCCAAGCCTAAAATTTGTATAAGCTGGCAAGTTCATGAGGTTAACCTTTGATGAGCCTCCGTCCATTTTGAAACATTCATTCGATCAATCAGACTGCAAGTTGTCTCCGGTTTGACCAGCTCGTGTGAATGGAGTAGACGTTTGAAAGTTAACTAAAAGACAAGTTGAAAGAGCCAATAAAATAATAAATTCACTTGCTGTTGTTGGGAGCTCCACTCGTTGATTCCCAATTCAATCATTCGATCGGCGATTTGGGTGTGTAGTTGGACGATCGCCTCCAACTCATTCGACACGAGTAGACGTTCCGATCTGGAAAAATAATAGATTAGATTAAACTTTATCAACTAACGTAACCATAGCACAGTTTAATGATTTTGCTTCCCAACCTGAGTTTCTCGCAAAGACTCCACACAACATCAGATTCATCTGCACTCAACGGGCCTCTTCTCATCTAAAGATGGGCGTATTAAGACAAGACTGAATAACGAAGTAGTCAAAAATTTGAAAATCTATATCATTTTTCTTTAGTACTGAAAAGCTTTACACGAGCTATGTATCGGTAAAAATACAGGAAATCTATGAAAGGAAAGCACTTTACCGCATTTCTTCAACCCTTTCAATCCTTTAATCAATTTATCCAAACAAACTTGACATTAACAAAAACAAATGAACGCAAAATGTGTTGAAGGTATCAAAAGATACAAATTATAAATTCGATTCGATCGCAAAACAAAAAAAAAGAGACTACAACAAAATAAACAACATGATCAGACATCTAAACTGTAAACCGAGATGGAGCAGTAGGCCGATAACTTTCCTCGCGTCGATCCCGATCTCGGTTGCGATCACGTGAACGAGAGCGACGTCTAAAATGTTAATGTTAACAAATTGAATATAATGAAGGGTTAAATTTTCAGAGATTTTTAAAATTTTAGACAGCAAGCTGCCATCATCGATGTTCAATATAATAAAATGTTTCTTTCAGTACAAAGTGCATTTAAGTTTTACATTCAATAAAAAAAGCTACTCCCTTAAACCAATGTTAAAGATATTGGTCCTATATTTAGTTACTTGACACGAAGATAGACCTTGCACAGCTTTTTTTCCTTTTAAAATACGAAACTCTACCTGTCACTATCTCTATCTCTATCTCGCTCCCTATCCCTATCACGGTCACGCTCGCGATCACATCCTCGACTGCCAGATCGATAATCCCTCCTATCGCGATCGTCGATTCGAAATCCCTTCGATAGTAGCTCGGCGCGAGATTCTTTTGTTCGTCGAGTGTCCCCTTTTCCACCACCGAGACGACGCGGGAGCCAGCTCTTCTGCGTGCGACCTCTCTCATAATCCACCACAATGCGACGACCATCAAGCTTCATTCCATCGGCTTTCTTGTAGGCAGCTAAAGAAATAAATCAATATAGCAAAGCAGTATAAAATCTTAGCAAGTTCATAATGTTTTTGGAAATATTGTTTCGACCAACTGTAAAAAGTATGAAGTAATGCAACAATTTTGAAACTAGGCTTCTACAGGTCAAAAAATATTACACTAATAATATAAAAATGGTTTCCAATACTAATTGAAGGCTCATTGGTGAAAAGTTATCAAAACAGGCTAAATGATTTGGGGGAACCGTGCCGCTTCACCGTAAATAAACAAATTCGGTGGAAAAGAAGAACAAATCAACAAACGTCGGCATCCCTGGGGGAAAGTAACATAGAGTCAAACTAGATTCATCGGAAAGATTAATCAAAATGGCAAAACCCTTACCACGCATATCGTCTTTGTTGACGTATTCAATGAATGCGTAGCCCCGGGGTTTCCCATCTTTATCGTAAACCATGTGCAGTCTCTCGATTCGGCCAAATTTCTCAAACTCTCGTTTCAGTTTTGATTCCGATGTTTCATAGTTCTAAAGAAAAAAAACATAAAGAAACCTTAAGAACAGTAACACATTGTCGGTTTAACCTTATTGAGGCTTTTGTCTCTTACCCACGTACTTTGCCTACACTTTTAATATACTAACTATCAGTGGGCCAAAGATTTCCGTGGCTAAGAACTAAGATAAACTTTGCCAACAAAACCCACCAGGCGAGAGACGAAGAGCGTCTTGTATGGATCCCTGGTGGCCTTCGCGTTTTCGGCTGGATTCCAAAGGGCAATTGCTTGCTCCAATTTGAACGACTTCAGCTCTTCATTTTGCTTCTGTCTGCGCGCTTTCTTCTGAGCATTCGTCTCAACAAGGGTTTCCGGCTGCTTCTCAACTGTATCCTAAAAGAAAACTTTGAAAATAAAAAAGGCACCGTTTTACCTCAAATTCCGCGATATATTGAGCAATCCCGGTGATCGGCGGTCGTTTTTCATTGAGATCCACGAGAAGTTCAGTAGCGGGTGGCCTAAATGAAAGGAAGGCATAAAGTCATGTTTTACTAGCAAAACAGGTTATATCGACAAAAACTTACAAATATTCCAACGGTGGTCGAGGAATGAACAAGGCCAGCAAGTTGTCTGGTAGAAAATTGGGCATTGTGGGCCCTAAAAAGATCTAAATTTTAGAATGACAGCAAAAAAATTACAATTTGATCAGCGATAAAGAGACATTTTCGCAACAAAAACTTTGTTAATAAAAAATTCAAACGTCGACGAAACCACGAAGTATTCTTAAAGAGCGCTTTTTAGGAACCACAGCCAAAACTCAAATTTTTTTATATATTTTTATATGTCGTAGCCGTTTACGAAATACAGCCGCTAACGAATCATTCGCTAACGGCTAGCCGTTAACGAATGAAATCTTTCGCTAGCCGTTTAGCCGGCTACCCGAATTAAAGAAGGGGACGCCAAAAAGGAGTTATTGTGAAGCCGATCATAATGAAGGAGCAAAATGAACGCTACCAAGTCGACTTAATTGATCTTCAATTGGTTTCGCATGCATTTTTGTTGATGTTTTGTTTGTTATAAACGTTATTATGTTATAAACGTTAATATGTTATACATGTTAAATGTTGTAAATTTTATTTTTGCTCTTTGCTGATTTGCGTTTTGCATAAATAGTTTGAAATCAAAAACTCATTTGAAACGAGCGATGTTCGCAGAAGCCGATTACAAATTGTACACGGCTAGCGAAAAAATTCATTCGTAATCGGCTAGCTGTTAACAAATGATTTGTAATCGGCTAGCCGTTAACGGCTGAATTTCGTAAAAGACTACGGCATATATATAACATGTGCTTGCTGGGGATTATTTAACGCAATTTATTGACAATAGGTAGCAATTATTATGTCCATGTCTCTCTTTTTGGACGAAAATCATAACATAATAACGTTTATAACAAACAAATTCGTTAGCGGCCAGCCGATTACGAATCATTCGTAATCGGCTAGCTGTTAACGAATGATTCGTGAACGGCTGAATTTCGTAAATGGCTACGACATATATATTTTCAACTTTTTAACTTTTTAATTTAAGAACATCAAGTGATGCAATTCTTCTGCATTTCTATACAAAAATTTGTGTCATTCATGTTCATTTACTCGATTTAAAAGTTTGCGTTTCGCTTTTAACGTGCTCTTTTTGTTCTGCCATAGAGCTGTTACGCTCGATTTTGAAATCTTTTTGAAAGATAATAATGTTTTTTCATTAGAATCACTAAACTACTAAACAAATTATAGTTTTTGCACAAATTCCTTTAAAAATAACAAAAAAAGATGCATTTCTTTTGTAATGTTTTTGATTTTGATATTTTTGATAAACTATTGTTTAAAATTTGATTAATAAATAAAAAAAGGGTGTAATTTCGATAGTTTTAAGAAAAATCCTTCGATTTTCGACTTTTCCTTTCTACAGCCCCACAGGAAAGTTAGTTTCACTTCAGATGAAATCAATCGCAGGTCTTTTAGCGTAATGTAACAAGAATCGTTGATTAGAGGGTGGGGCAAATGCGACCTTTTTTTGCGCACCTGGACATTTGCGCACCTTTTTTTGCTGGAAAAGGCCATAGGCAAGGCCGTAGAGCTTCAAAAATATTTCCATATAAGGGAATCGTATGCGTAGATTCCCTTCTATTAAAACATTTTTGAAGCTCTACGACCTTTCCTAAGGCCTTTTCCAGCAAAAAAAAGGTGCGCAAATGTCCAGGTGCGCAAAAAAAAGGTAGCATTTGTCCCACCCCCGTTGATTAAATTGTATTTTTGGCTTAAATTCAATTCAATCCATACCAAATGAGCCTTTTATCAACCGAAAAAAATTTTTACTGACCTAATTTTCTTTGCTTTTTTCGTTCATAAAGCGAATTTTCAAGTAAAAACAATTTATTTGTCGATGAAAACTCATCGAATCATCGAAATATCGAAACCATCTTCAAGTGGAAACAAAATTTGTCAAATAAAGCAAAAAAAAACAGAAAAACAGAACAGAATGCCAACAAAAATGTTAATTAACAAAGATTTTCTTTTTAAATTTCGAAAATGTCAATCAATCGTATCAATCGTATCAATCATCATTTCATAATTTTCTCCTCAAAACGATGACTCATCCGAATCAGTTCATTTGGTCACAGCTTACACGAAATGCTTCACGTAAACACGTCTGCCAAAAACGCCAAATCCCAAAAGAAAGCCGAAAAGCTAAACTATAAAGACAAGGAAAATTGAGAGTTTCAAAGAAATGAGAAACAAAAATCGAGATTTCAACAAAGCAGACGAGAAGTGAAATTCGGAGAACAGCTTTGAGTGTCAGCTGTTGGATTGGCCTTTCGGTGAAAGAAATCCCCGAACTCCTTTAAATCTCAAATTTTCCGTTATTGACTCAAAGATTTTGGCACTAACTCATGATGAGAATATTCTTGGCGCTGTGCTTCTTTGGCTTCAGCTATGGTAAGTGTTTGAAGTACCAATATGTAAAGTACAAATATTCCGTCTGATAGTGAGAAAAAGACTTTGCTAGCTAAGCTGTTGTTTTCCAGGGTTTAGAGGTCAAAATGATTTCAGAATAGATGCTGAATTACGTTAGAAAGTACGAAATTTATTGTTGTTTGATGTGAATTCGATTATATATAAAAATATTTGTCTTTGCTAAAGCTAAAGTTTAACTAAAGTATTGGGTTGGTGAATTGAAAACTACGGGACTTTGAACCAAAATTTATTGAACATAAAACCATAAATTCATTCCAAATAATTTCCATTATTATTGACGACTTCTGCCCATTTTACAGGCAATTTGTGGATTCCTCTTTCGTAGTAGGATTCTGGTTTGTGAGTGAGACAAGTGTGAGACTCAAAAATCGAGGACCGGAGATGTCCCAGTTTAAGCACTTTCTTCAAAAGAAATCCATTTTGGTGTCAATAGAAAAGTTGTAGAGAATCAAAAATCAGGCTTATAGCCAAATTTCCAAAAAGATACACTTAGTAGTTTCGCTTAAAATGCAAGTTTTGTGAAAATTCACAAATTTCGCATTTCTTGAAAACCAGTTTTTGAATCGTTCTGAAAATTTGGATATAAGCTTGATTTTTGATTCTCTACAACTTTTCCATTGACACCAAAATGGGTTTCTTTTGAAGAAAGTGCTCAAATTGTGACATAGGAGAATAGCCAGCAGTTTTCAATTCACCAACCCAATAGCTATGAAGTTTCACGTTTAAAATGGCTTTAAAAATGTCGAATTTCAAAGTAAACAGCTCAATATATAACCATTCAAAAATATAGCTCAGCAGCAATAAATTAGCTGAATAAAAGGTATTTAATTAAAGAAATTATGTTTTCTTGATTGGTTGAGGATTTAAATTTTTAGCGTACATGTTTGATTGTTTGGATAAATGTGAATGTGATACCGAGGACGAGGTGATTCACTGTCACAACGGGCAACGGACGAAATTAAGTGAGTTTACTTACAGTTGGTAATTAAAAATCCGAAAAACACTGTTTCACCGGAGTTTTTCAATGCACAGTTGAGCAAAACCAGGATTTTTTTAAAACCAGCATTATAGACAAAAGATAACCCGTCTAATTATACACAATTTTGAAACATCTTACTTTTTATCAAAGTTTGTTTGTGTTCGTTCACTTCATAACTCGAGTCCTAGTGGGAATTTTGGTCTGATTTTTTGAGACAATATGTAATCGACTACTGCAATTTGGCCTGTAAAAACAGATTTGAAAAATCTCAACCCATTTTTGAGCAAAGTTGGAAAAAAGAGTTGGTGACTAGTTCAAATTAAGAGCTGAGTCCCAAATTAAACCTTTTTTTTTAGCTAAAAAGTTTCTAGGTGTTCTCCTGTATTTAAAGACGTAGTTGATTTAATTTGGATATTAATATTGATATTAATATTGATATTAATATTGATATTAACATTGATATTAACATTGATATTCATTTTCATTTAGCTCTTCCCACGGGCACTCGCTTGCGGGGTTTCCCGGTGATCGGGCTCACTTTCAACAACATTCAAAAATTGCCCGATCAGGATACACTTCTCGAGAAATTCCCCGATCTTAAGGTAAGTGAAATACTCTGAATTACTGTAGTAAGAGAAAGCAGTACTGTTGCACTACAGTAATCCAATTCCAGACAGTTCTTCGGCACTGTATTACAGTAATCCAGCAGCGATATCCATCCTAGACTAGAATTTAAAGATTTTCAGCCAATGAAAACTTAAATTTCATTTTCATTTCCCGCTAATTCCCCGATTTTCCCGTTTTTCCTATTTTTCATTAATTTTTCCCGATAAATCTTATCCATCCGATAGACAAAAAAATGAAAATCAAATTTATTCAATTTAAGCTAAAGACGCTCATTGTCAATCTTATAAAATTGAAAAGCTTTATCCCGATCGACAATAATCCCCTCAAAACACTGACAATGAGGCTTTATAGTAACTTTTTTTAATACAAACAACCCTTTCACTAAATCTTTACATTTGTTTTTATAATATAGCCTATTTGAAACTTTCATTTTTCAAGCCTATTTTCTTTAGTGTTAAATTAAAAATTCAATTTTAATTAACAAAAAAAATGAAATTTTGTAAGATAGTTAAATTTTTTAATTTTGTAAAGGCTTTCCTTTGAAATATCAATTTTTCAGATAGTCGACGTTGAGAGAAATCCGAACTTTGACTGCAGTAGCCTCGAGAACTACAACCGGGTGAGTAGAAGAGAAAAAAAATGACGTACTTTAATGATTACTAACGTTTCAGCCTGTAGTACATTTAATTATTAATTGGTTTGTGCGTACCTTGTGGCTGATGGGGTTCAGGCTCAACTCTCACATTCTGCCACATGGCCTCTGCAGATGGTCTAGGATTTTCTTCTTTCGTTGAATTACCCATGAGGCCCTCCTCTTAGGGGAACCAAAATTCTTTTGTGCGTCGTAATGAACCTTTCCGTCAACGTCAACAATCAACGTGCCGAAAGACGCAAATTTTTCAACCATAATCTTTAGTAGATGAATGGGAAATATATTAGAGGCTGTGGTGGTGCTTTTATTTTGGTTTAGGGCCAAAGTATGCAAATTTACGCACAAGGTACGCACAAATTATTAATTAGTACATTTAATTATTAATTACGTACAATAGTACAATACTTTTTTTACTTGACTCGATTACAGATCAAGATCATCACCGATTGCGAGAAGAACATCACCGACATCCAGCGAGTGCCGCGAATCGATCGGCCGACTAGGGTTGGGAAATTTAAAAGAAACTAACAAGACTTGTTGCTTGATAGATCATAAATTCTTGATGCTTGATAGATCATAGATCATAGATCATAAATTGTGGAGCCTTGAGTTTCATAGGTCGATGATAGGAGTCAAGAAAGGAGCCAAGAAATGAGCTAAGAAGAGGCTAGGGTTGACTTTGAATTGGCTTCTTAGCAGATCTTGTGGTAGCAGATAGTGGAAAAATAGAAAAAACCCTGACTCTAAAACTAGAAAGCTTGAAAGCTAAGCTCTGCTTTATACAATTTCCATTGTAGTCACTCTTTGTAATTGTAGTTTTAGTTTGTATTCCATTGTAGTTACTCTTTCTCAATAGGGAAAGGTGAGCTCAAGTTGAGCTTTTGATTAGACACTGCACTTTATAAAATCGCGTACGAGGAATCCGAATCTCAAATGAAAATCTGCCAAATGACTCGAGGCGTGTAAAACTTCAATCTATTCAATCTCAATCTATCCAAATTTACATCCTACTCCAAAATCAAACTACTCCAATCAATCAATTAATCTACTCCAATCAATCAATCAATCTACTCCAATCAATCAATCAATCAATCTACGCTTTTTTTCAGGAATGCGATCTCGCTTGTCAAGCCGAAAAGCATTACAAGAAATTGCACGAATACGCTCTCCAACTGTGGGAAGTGATTAAGGTAAGTGTTTTAAGAAAATTCTCTCACTCATCTAAATCTTAATCCTTAAACAACAAGACTTTAGATATTAAAAATCTTATCAAAACGCAGTAGGAAATTACAAGAGACAGTTGAAAGACACCATAAAAACTTTGAAACCACTAATTTTTTCAAAAGTTCTTACTTAGTTTAAGTCTAAATACCTTAAATCTTCAGTTTTTAAGTTTTTTTAGTGAATTCCAATTATCAAATCAACCATTTTCAGCAAAAATACGAGAATTTTGATGTGGACGAGTCGCTGAAACAAATCCGCGAATTCTTCAAGAAAGTCGTCGCGAAAGTGCAAGGATTTGGGCAAAACGTTCAACAGAAGTACGTTTTTTAGAAAACTTTCATTACTAAGACTTACATTACTAAGTTGATTGACTTTGTTTAAAATGCGACATGCTATATTCTGGCAATTTAGATGGAACCAAACCGGTCAAGCCGATCACCCGAAAGCGATCGGCGCGAAGACTTCGCTCGGCGACGATGTGCACCTGCCCACCCAAGGCACTATTGATGTCTAAATCCAGCTCACCATTCGTCAATACAATCATTTTTTTTTATTGTAAAATTCTTGGCAATGTAAATATCAAGATAAATAACAAGATAAATCTATGCAAAGGATTCCTTTGGGGACAAAATCTGCAAAAAGAAGTTTGGCCTCGTTTGGATAAGATAAGGAACCAAATTGAGAGAGAGAAGGAACCAAATTTAGAGAGAGAAGGAACCAAATTTAGAGAAATAATGAGGCAAATTTAGAGAGATAAGGAACCAAATTTAGAGAGATAAGGAACCAAATTTAGAGAGATAAGGAACCAAATTTAAAGACATAAGGAACCAAATTTAGAGAGATAAGGAGCCAAATTTAGAGAGATAAGGAACCAAATTTAAAGACATAAGGAACCAAATCTCTAGAGATAAGGAACGAAATCTGTAGAGATAAAGAACCAAATTTAGAGAGAGAAGGAACCAAATTTAGAGAAATAATGAGGCAAATTTAGAGAGATAAGGAACCAAATTAGAGATAAGGAACGAAATCTGTAGAGATAAAGAACCAAATTTAGAGAGATAAGAAACCAAATTAAACTGTAAAACTTTTTGGTCCAGAGGCTTCCATTTATTATGCATTTCAAGAGTGTTATTCAAGTACAAAATACAAGCGTCATGACTGTGGTCTGGTAGGTGTTAGTCCCAAAAACCCGCTTGGATACCCAAAAAATCTATGCCGGATTTGTGGCTAAAATATTAACAAATTTGGGGCGAATTGGTCCTGGGGATGGGCATGGGGTCACAGCTCCATTTGCCCCGTTTCCACCGTTTTCCATCGAATCTCAAAGCGAATCACCCCAATTTCCCCCTGCCTCTGGTCAAACCAAACATAATAATACCCATTCAACCAAAAAGATCTCCGAAAATCAATCGGAAACATTAAACCAAAGTACTTTCGTCTATTCTGTACTTCAGGAATGTTATAGAAATACAAAATACATTAGTTTTAGTGAAAATCTAAGATCAAATTTGGATCTTTGATCATTTTTTTACCCCTAGTGACAAGTGACAGTGTTTTTCTGTTATACACGGTAATTTTGAATCTTGGTCCGAAACGGCAGTTCTGCTAAAACAGCGCGGTCGTCTATGTGTTAACAAAACTGTCCCGCTTCTGAGCGTACTTGAAGAGTTTGGTTTTGACTTTGACTTTTGATACGAGCCTTGAGAATTTTCTGTGCAATTAGCTTTGGTTTTTTTCTCTACCGATTTGGTACCTTTTCTCTACAGATTTGGTTCCTTTTCTCTACAGATTTGGTGCCTTTTCTCTACAGATTTGGTTCCTTTTCTCTACAGAGACGGACGAAACATCCTCTAAAAGCTATTTTATAATGAACACCAAAATAAAATGAAACATTCAAACGATAAACTATGTACAAAAAATATTAAAAGACTAGATGTTTGCCGAGTAAAAGAAAGCCTAGATGTTTCTGAGCGTTGCCGAATAGCGTTTTTTACTGGTAGATACGGTAGTTTGATGTACGGGCGCCGAACACAGTTGAGGCACAATTTAAAGGGGAAAAAGGAAATTAAGTATTTGTTAGCTTTGAGGATTCTTACAAAATTTAACATATCTTTCGGGTCAAACTCCTTGGGTTTTGGGTCGACACGGAAGCCCTAGATCGAGTCGAGTCGATATTTATCAAAACATTATCAAAACCAATCATTTGCCACGAATAAAAATCGAAAGCAGTTGAAAAAGTTTATTCGCAAAAAAGCGCAAGTTTCTTGTTTACGAATTAGTGACAGTTAGGGACGAGTCATCAAAAGCAAGGCCCCTATTTTGGGCATGCTTCAGGCATCAAGCAGAATTGATACTTTGGATTCGGTGGGCCAATTTGGCAACAAATCGTTCCCATCGGACATCCGATTGATGGACATTCGGCTGAGAGCTGAAATCACAAAAAAAAACATCTCAAATTTGCCAATTTTTTCTCTCTTTTTAAGGGCGGCAATAGAGTTAACTCTCTCTGGAGAAAAGGGCATCGAGTGCGTTGTGGTGTAAGCACACTTGCCCGGTAAGCGAAAGGTCGTGGCTTCAACTCCTGACAAAATATTTTGATCAATTCTAGGACTGCCAAACCTATTCTAGAACTGCCAAACCTATTCTAGGACTGCCAAACAATTTGATTGGATTCACTGAAATTTTGAGCGAATTCAGTAAGAAATCAGTGAAAACTAAACTCGATTTAACGATTCCAAAAGGAGAATCGTTAAATCGAGGCACATAGTCAAAGGATCTTAGGTGAAAACGTTGAATCGAGCTCTAGTTCTCCTTTTCTCAATAAATAGCGTTCAAATCACAATGAAATATGTACTATAGTATGTAAAATAGGTAGGTGTAAAGGTTTCTTTAGTGTATTACCCAGAATGTTGTTCCCTGTTCATTCACTTTGCATTCAGTGTCAAAATCAGTTAAAAAGTTATAGACGTAGCTTACACTAAAGAAACCTTTACACTTACCTATTTTAGCATAAAGAAAGCTTTTAGATTGAAACAAAAATTCCTTTTCTCAACAATAGCAATTATTTCTCAATATTCTTCTTGATATGTTGACTCTTTTATTAGTTTCGAATTTTCAATTGCTTGTTTAATGATTAGAAACGTTTTATATGTCTAGTAGACATGCCTAAATGCCTAAATACGTCTAAAAAGGCAATAAATTAACTGAGATGAATTAAAAATGATGAAAATGATCGAGTTCCGTTCAGATTTCTTTCTGTTCCAATCGGTTTTTTGAAACTGATTGGAACCAAATCGATTCCCATGTCTAATTTCTAGTCAGTATGAATTGTTTCACCTGTTGTGTGATGAGAAGAATGAAAAACGCTACAAATAAAGTCCAGAAGAAGTAATTGTTCATTTATTGGGTTTTACGGTTTGTTGAAATGTTTTATATTGAGGTTATTGTTCGGAATTTAAATAGTAGAAGGTGTTTTGTTTTTTCCGGTCATCCAGGTTCCGATTTGGGTCTTTTATCTAAAGATTGTTTTGTTTTTGAAATAAATCAACTGATAACACTTCTTCTGAACCCATTATTTGAACTGATTTGTGCTGATTTCTGTTTTTGTTTTTCTTCATTAGGGACCTTCTTGAAGCTGATTCTAATCAGCTTTAAGAAGAAGATGGAGAACTAAAACTAATGTTAACCCATCAACAAACTAACATAGCCCATCAAAATTCTAACTCTAACACAAAAGTTTGACAAGATATTGGAATATTGAAAATTTTTCTCACCTTTATTGCGTTGATATTTGCTTTAGGTTTGAAAAAGACCAGTGCCCAGTCTGGTTAAATTAGCTTTGGTCTTAAACTTTCTTGAAAAGGTAAAGAACTACTAATTATACAATTTAGACAAGACTGATGACAGTGTCTATCTGGATTCAAATCTTAAAATGTGGAAAGCTGTCGATAGTTCCGGCGTTCAATTGCCATTTTTGTGTTCTTTGAGACCCAATTCTACATCTACACCGGCCACTTCCACCAAACCGAAATGCTTATCAAAGAACTGATTGGCACACTTCAAATTTTGTCATGTCAAGATGTAAATAATAAAGTTTTATGTATTCATTCGATAAATCGTCAAGTTTTTTCTTGAACTAGCTTCTCACAAAAGACGCACCATTTCCCGATTTCGGGTAATGAGCAGATTTGAGGATTTACTTTGGTACTCTTGAGAAATTTCACACAAAATACCTTTGTTTTTTTGTCCGGCTCTTCTGGGTAAAAGGTCTATCGATTAATATGAAAGAGAATTCAAAAAAATCCGTGACTATAATGTTAGACCAGCTATCTAAACAGAATTTAGAACATTATGGGTAGTTTAAAGTAAATCACATTTATAATTTTACGGTTTATTAGGGCAGAAAGAAAAGGCAACGATATCGATTACAAAAATAGCTTGTGCGTGAAGAGAAACATCAAATATCCCGAAAGAACAAAGGCAAAACTTTAAACCCAACAACAACAACAACAACAACAACACACACACACACACAAGTTCTATCGAAAAATCAAAAAAAAAGAATGAATGAGAATGAGGGGAGAGAATGAGACGAAAAAGCGACGCAACTTGAATGCAAATAGGAACGTAATGTTTGAAGGGAACGGACGCGACGGAAAAGCGACGCAACTTGAATGCAAATAGGAACGTAATGTTTGAAGGGAACGGACGCGACGGAAAAGCGACGCAACTTAAATGTAAATAGGAACGTAATTTTTGAAGGGAACGGACGCGACCCTATATTTGATCTGATCTATTCAAGAGATGCACAAAAAGTATATGTACAAGTATGAGCCATTTTAGTAATGGGAGAATGGGGACAATGGCTTTGGTTTTCTTTTATTCTATGTACATTCAGAGTTGATGTGAACTAGCCTGACTCAAAGCAAAATAGTGCAAAATAGAGCAAATTGCCAAGTTAATGGAATGAAAGGATTCACAGATAAATCGATATACAATATAGGATGATTGTAATTGATTATAGTGAATCGGTTAAATGTATTAAATGTACTTTCAATCAAATTGATAGATCATCCCTTTTCAAGTCGTTTCCTTTCACATAATAGGGAAGGTGATAGGTGTTTTTTGATTTTCGACAGCGGCAAGTTCTAAAGAAATTCTCATCATTTCTGGTGATCATGAATGATGATTTCTGGTGATCATTCATGTTTGTTTGATTTTGTGTGAGCTACAGGCTAGGACACTCAAATTTACACGCATAGTCTGCCTTAGTACTGCTTTCTCACTACTTCCCTTGCGTGAAGGAAGTATGCAAAATATCCACTGGATAAGGATAGATTGACACTACCAGACATCAAATCAAATGCAGAAATATGTTTAGTTCATCGTTTTGACCTCGCATAGTGGAGTTCTCATCCATCAACCTGCAAATAGCTCACCTGAAACAGCAACAGCAACAGCAACAACCAATCAACAAACATATCAGAATTCCACTAAATATATAGTAAGGCAACGGTTGTAGATGTACACAACAGTCTCCATGACAACAAGTGTAGTAGACCAAGACTGATGCGTTGCCTGAAAAGTTATCCTGATCTGATAATCCAATCCATTCAATCCATTTCATTTTCAATCCATTCAATCCATTCATTTTCAATCCATTCAATCCACAAATAGTTCTCCTAATTAATTTAATAAGCCAATCTGATGCAACAATCTTTAATGGTAAATTTCTTAGTGTAATAAGTCAGTACACTTTCGACTAAACAATCTTTTTCCATTTCTCTTTGTTTTCAATTTTAATCTTTGTTTGCAAGGCTCTTTGTGCAAGCAAGAGGTTCTCTGTACAAGCCAAATTTAGCCCGTTCATTCTTATCACTAAAATTTGAATTGCTGAACAAAATGCCGGCAGTTTTATAGAACATTTGAAAACAAAAAAAAGCAATATTAGTCGTTTTGTCGTTTCATCAAGAGTTTTTCTAAAGTTGTGCAAGAAAATTATCCGTAGCCTCGCTAAAATTCATTTCAAGAATTATAACTGCCACGAGTTGTAGCTACTAGTATTGAGTAATTAAATAGTATTATCAGAAATCTCAGAGTATTGTATATTCAGATAAACTCACAAGTTTGCTCTTTTCCCTCACATCCCTCAAGATCAGATGATTTTTGAGCTAAAGAGAGTCCATTTGTTGAACTAATCAAAACGACAAAGAAAATGGCAGATTTGAGTTGCTTGAGAGAGAAAATCTCTCTGCTTCCAGTCAACGATATTAGAACAGAGCTCGAGAACTAAAAGTAACTTTTTCAAAAGATTAGATCAGCTTTTCCCGTTAACGAAGGAACTCAAAATTTGTATTCTGGCCTAGTTTGGCTTTTGGCTGATCGAGGTGGCTTGGAATTTAAATTTTGAGGGTTTAGCCTGGACCTGACATGGCCTGGACCTGACATGGCCTGGACCTGACATGGCCTGGACCTGACATGGCCTGGACCTGACATGGCCTGGACCTGACATGGCCTGGACCTGACATGGCCTGGACCTGACGTGGCCTGGACCTGACATGGCCTGGACCTGACATGGCCTGGACCTGACGTGGCCTGGACCTGACGTGGCCTGGACCTGACGTGGCCTGGACCTGACGTGGCCTGGACCTGACGTGGCCTGGACCTGACGTGGCCTGGACCTGACGTGGCCTGGACCTGACGTGGCCTGGACCTGACGTGGCCTGGACCTGACGTGGCCTGGACCTGACGTGGCCTGGACCTGACGTGGCCTGGACCTGGCCTGACTCAGGACCTGGCCTGACTCAGGACCTGGCCTGACTCAGGACCTGGCCTGACTCAGGACCTGGCCTGACTCAGGACCTGGCCTGACTCAGGACCTGGCCTGACTCAGGACCTGGCCTGACTCAGGACCTGGCCTGACTCAGGACCTGGCCTGACTCAGGACCTGGCCTGACTCAGGACCTGGCCTGACTCAGGACCTGGCCTGACTCAGGACCTGGCCTGACTCAGGACCTGGCCTGACTCAGGACCTGGCCTGACTCAGGACCTGGCCTGACTCAGGAACTCCCTCACGTGGGCTTGCCTTGACATTTTCTTCATCCCTGATTAGCGTAAGTGAGATATGTACTGAAAAATTGGGTTCAGCCTTACCGTTTTTGATGAAATTCAAAGCATAAAAAAAAAAGCATAAACAGCTTATCATGATTAAAACTTGCTATCAAATATTTACTGATAAGATATCAAAAACAAACTCGTGTTGACATCCTGGTGCTGATAATGAGTCTAACAAGGGAAAATTATATAAGAAATTGTTCAATTGGAACTGTCCAATAGCAACTATTCTTGTTTTATTTGAATAGCGGCTCTTATCTCTGTTTCGACGCCGACTTTTTTAGCTTTGGCACAATATTATGCCTTTTTTTGGGGCTTTTTGAGTCATTTGAAAAAGACTATTTTGTTGCATGAAAAAATTCTCCTTTTAAAGCAACAAAGAGCTTTGCAAAAGGAAAAAAAGACACTAAACCCACTCGGCTTTTGAATCATTTGACTAAAGATATCCAAAATGCGTGGGAACAAAGACTTTACTAAAGGTTACTCATTTTCTAGAGCTTAATGGGAACTAAATGTGCTCAAGATCAAGTCAAGATCGGCTTGTTCGTTCCCGAAGTTCACTGGTATCAGCACTGTTTGTATCTGGAATATGCTTGATATCCCTATGTTAATTATTGTTGCTTTTGTCTGACCAACTTTTGTGTGACCAACTTTTGTCTGACCAAGACTTTTGATCTTTCAATATCTTTTTATTCTTGTTATGAACCAATGAGAAATCTAAAAATAAGTAGTTGATTATTGCAAAATAGTATCTTTATTAAACCTCAAATGCTTTTAACATTTATTCGTTCTTAAAAAGGCATTGGTTTTTCGGGTTTTTGATCAACTCACTTTGAAATCGCAAGAAAGCGACACGAAGAAGAGGCCAAGCAGAAAAAAAAAGACGAGTTGTAGACTGAGACTGAAATACACGTGATTGCGGAAGAAACGGCGACGGAAGCCATCGTGGAATTCGGGCAAAATGTGCAAGAGAAGTACGTTTTTAGGAAATTTTTATTGCTAAGTTGACTGAATTTGTTTAAAATTTGATATGCTGGCTGTTTAGATGGGCTTAGGTCAAGCCGATCACCCGAAAGCGATCAGCGCGAAGACTTCGCTCGGCGACGATGTGCACCTGCCCACCCAAGGCACTATAGGATGTCTAAATCCAGCTCACCATTCGTCAATACAATCATTTTTATTGTAAAACTCTTGGCACTGTAAATGCCAAGAGCTCAAGGATGTCAAGATAAATATATGCAACAAGGATTTCTTTCGTGGGAATAGAGCGCAAAGAGAGTTTGGGCTGGCTTGGATGGGATTAAACTGTAAAACTTTTTGGTTTTGGTCCAGAGGCTTCCATTTATTATGCATTTCAAGAGTGTTATACAAGTACAAAATACAAGAGTCATGGTCGTGGTCTGGAGGATGTTAGTCCCAAAAACCCGCTTGGATACCCAAAAAATTTATGCCGGATTTGTGGCTAAAATATTAACAAATTTGGGGTGAATTGGTCCTGGGGTTGGGCATGGGCTCACAGCTCCATTTGCCCCGTTTCCTCCGTTTTCCATCGAGTCTCAAAGCGAATCACCCCAATTTCCCCCTGCCTCTGGTCAAACCAAACATAATAATACCCATTCAACCAAAAAGATCTCCGAAAATCAATCGGAAACATTAAACCAAAGTACAAGCCCTCTAACAAATGGATTTGCTTTGGATTCGATAAAGGAGAGTACAAGAAAAGATAAAAACGATCAGGAAATACCACAGCAATATAGAAATTTGGATCGAAAAAGTCGACTGAAATGTCTAAAATGGTCGAATTCTCGGGAAACGATGCGAAAACTGAAGCCGAATCAGAGAAACACGCTTCGAAAGTGTTCGTTTTTGAAAAGTCATTGATTTGCCCTTCTGTATCGTCTCGATAGTTGATGTAAAGTTCGCCAGTGTCGGATACTGCTGCCAGAAGATTTACCATAGGACTGCTGGGTCTGAAAATTTCTTTATTATATTCTTTATTATATTCTAAACTTGTAAAGAACTCATCTCGTTTACAAGAAATCCAAAAAATCGTTGTTCGCCGAGTATTTCTGTTTGTTAATTACCTATTTAGGTATTTAGAGACTATTTAGAGACTAATTAGAGACAAGATTACGGTAGAAAGGAGGAGAAAATGCGTTTGTTGAGAAGAAAACACTCACTTGAAAGCAGCGCCTGCTGCGAGAATTCTCTTGTCGCCAAATGAAGCACACTGCTTTGGGCCTCGTTGATTTCCTGGATACTAAAGTTTTATCACTTTGTTCAGATGAAAAAAATAAGATTATCTACTGGTTTTCTTTTGGTAAGATTGCAAGAAAGATACAAAAATTCAATCTAGGAAATTTAATCCAAAATCCATTTCACCGATCTAACCACCTTTAGTCCAGTAAATCTTTTTGCATATTCAGCCGAGCGAAAATCCATTTCTACTAGAATGTAGAGGAGATTTAGAGGGAGTGGGACATTTGCGCAACCTTTTTTTGCGCACCCGGACATTTGCGCACCTTTTTTTCCGCACCTTGCCCATTAGCGCACCTTCTTTCGCGTTTTAAAAAAGCTCAAAAAAGCTAATATTAACCAATTTCTATTCCAAAAGTTGTTTTTCTAGGTAATTTTAGGGCGTAGAATCGAAATTTTGACATATCAGAGCTTGCGGAAGCGAACGGACGGAGTTATACAAAGAGAAAGATCGACAATTTTCTGTAATTTGAGCTAGCCGTTTTGTCTTTCCAATTGGTTCCACACGCTCTGTTATGTCAAAATTTGAATTCGACACCCTCAAAATTACCTAGAAAAACAACTGTTGGAATAGAAATTGGTTAATATTAGGGTTTTAGAGCTTTTTTTAGAGAAAAAAGGTGCGCTAATGGGCCAGGTGCGGAAAAAAAAGGTGCGCAAATGTAGGGTGCGCAAAAAAAAGGTCGCATTTGTCCCACTCCCTTTTTGCATATTCAGCCGATCGAAAATCCATTTCTACTAGAATGTAGAGGAGATTTAGAGGGAGTGGGACAAATGCGACCTTTTGCGCACCCTTTTTTGCGCACCCGGACATTTGCGCACCCTTTTTTGCGAAAATTTGGAATAGAAATTGGTTAATATTAGCTTTTTAGAGCTTTTTTTAGAGAAAAAAGGTGCGCTAATGGGCCAGGTGCGGAAAAAAAGGTTCGCAAATGTCCGGGTGCGCAAAAAAGGTCGCATTTGTCCCATTCGCGCTTCAGAGCTTTCAAATGGTACATAACAGTCATTGATATTTGTTAAAATAAATAAACTTCCAAGCAAATTCAAAAGTCAATCTATCAATTCGATTCTAACTACGAGTTTCAAAGTTTTCAACATAAACTAGACTTTTTATCACTCAATTAAACCGACTTTGACTCTGAATTTGATAACTTTCATTCTTTCAATCGTTCCTCTTCATTAACCCATTCGAAACCGCAGCGTTTTTTCCAGATGGTTGGAAGCCGTTTATCCAGATGGTTTGAAAGGTTGAAGAGAGTCTCCTACACCATTTATTTTTGATGAAGAACGATTTGGATTTGACTTCAGTACTCTTCAAAATCCTATCGATTATTATTCTTATTTTATCGACGACAAATTAATCAATATGTTAGTAGGCGAATCTAATAAACATGGAACATAATAAACATGGAAAAAGGAAAACAAACTGGCAGGATTTCGATGCAAAAGCTTTCAAGCTCTTCCTGGCTCTGTATCTTCAAATGGGAATCGTCAAATTACCGAGGATTCGTGACTACTGGAGTAGCAAGCCTGGATTAGGAGGATTTTCCCACATGTCCCACATTCCCACATGTCCCACATTATGTCAAGAGCAAAATTTGAATCTATTCTTCGAAACCTGCGTTTTTGTGATAATGAACTGGATTCTGCAGGAGATCGGCTTTATAAGATTAGAGCTATTACGGAACATTTCAATGCAAAACCAGAGGCTGCATTGATTCCGGGTAAATATGACACGTCTTTTTTGCCCACGTAATTTGTAGATCTGTTACAATTAGAATATACATGTAATGCTGAAAAACAGCAAACAAAAAAACCAATTAATTGAATGAAAATAGCTCAATTAGCGCTGCAGAAGTTTCGAATGGGTTAAATTCTATTTTCTCTAATTGAATCCCTTCCCATCACTCCCATCACTCACCGTATCCTTTTCGTAATCGATTGTCGCCTCATTTAATCCGCTAATTGTCGCCAAATGCAACTCTTTCGTTTCATTGTATCGATATGAAGAAATCATTTCATAATCACTATGCAAATTCCCGGCGAAAGAACAAAATTCAGATTGTTTTGGGAAATCGAAAAAACAGCAATAAATGAGTTGTGATCGATTACAGTAGGATTGCTCGAAGCAATTCAAATCGGCGAATAAAAGACGACAATTTGAGGCGTTTTGCCGGTCGATGTCGGCTCCAACGACTTTTGGGGAATCTTCGGACACGTTGAAGAGATAGATTTGATCTTTTAGGAGCCCAAAGAATAGCCCGGGTTCCTCGTAAACTGGAGTCAGTGATTCCTCAAATATTATTGTTTAATTTTTCGATTTACAGTTTAAAAAAGTAGATTTACAGCTTAAAAAAGTCGATTTACAAATAAGATTCGTTTTTGGAAGTCTTTAAAAAACTTTTTACTCACGATTGACTCGTTCACTTTAAAAACGTTCATCTCGAGCGCTCGCACATAGCCTGATCCACCCCGGGGCACCACTGGAGTTGTGGGAGCTGAAAGAAGAACAATAATATTCTAGAAAAATGATATTCTAGAAAAATGATATTCTAGAAAAATGATATTCTAGAAAATGATCGTCTAAAAAATGATATTCTAGAGAAATGATATTCTAGAAAAATGATCTTCTAAAGAATGATATTCTCAATTGATTTCTCAATTCTCAATTGATTCCAGAGCTTCTTAATCGGACATTCGATTAAGAATAGATTTAAAATCCGACGTAACTTCTAAAAATTTACAGTGCTACTACATTACTACTACTCGAAAATCGTTTTTGGTCTAGATAAGGCCTAGACAAGGCCTAGACAAGACCTAGACAAGACCTAGACAAGGCCTAGTTAAAGCCTAGATGGGGCCTAGATAAGTATCTAAGCCTTATCTAGGCCAAAAGCGATTTTCTTGATATCAAATTATTTCTACTATGCTTAGAAATCTCTAAAATTACTTGTAATTAATAGGAAATTAAGAGGTTTATTTTTTTTCCTAAAGAAACAAGGTCAAAGATTTTAAGTTTCAAATTTCTTAAGATCTACTTTGGCCCCAGGTCGTTGATGGTGTTGTCAGCGGCAATCGTTTAAACTTTTAAATTTAACCTGCAAGTTCCAAAGGAGATATAGAACATATAGAACTTATAGAACTTATAGAAACATATAGAAACATATAGAAACATATAGAAACATATAGAACTTATAGAACTTATAGAAACTTATAAAAACATATAGAAACATATAGAGCATATAGAAATAAAGAAAATTAGAGGAAAGATATTATAAAGTTGTTTGGGTTTGCTTTTGCTTTGCTTTGCTTTGCTTTTTTGCTGTCGTCCAAGCTGAGACTTAAACTAAATACCGGACTAAGCGGTTTTTTTGGAAAGATAGAACAGTCCAAAGACAGAACAGTCCAAAGAAAACACAAAGTAGTGTTGTTTTCCCTTTGATAAATGCTAAAGATATTCTGAGAAGATCTTCAAAATTAAGAAAATAGTAAAAACTTCATGCAACTAGTTAGCAAAAATGTAAAAAGACATCAATAACAGCGCTTGCGCGTTCTACACTGCGAATGCCGAGGTTTTCCGTGAATCAATTTGCAATTATAGAACTTATAGAACTTATAGAACTTATAGAACTTATAGAAACATATAGAACATATAGAAATAAAGAAAATTAGAGGAAAGATATTATAAAATTGTTTGGGTTTGCTTTTGCTTTGCTTTGCTTTGCTTTTTTGCTGTTGTCCAAGCTGAGACCTAAACTAAATACCGGACTAAGCGGTTTTTTTTGGAAAAAGTGGATTTTAAAGATGATGCCTGAGTCAAATGAGATCTTAGTTTGTATCATTTGAAAGAGATATCTTTTCTCAACAAAAGGTTTTTAAGAGATTAAAGAGATTAAGATTTAAAAAGCTTTTGTTTTTGAACACTTTGGAGACGTTCAAACGTTCGTTCATCGAGCTGTTTGGTCTTGGATTGAATTTGAAATTCAATTTGAATGATGATTCAATTTGAAACTTAATTTTTTCAATTTCAGAGAATTTCAATTTCAGAGAATTTCAATTTCACAGAATTTCAATCTTGTAAACTCAACGAAAGCAATTAAATTGTAATATCATTATTTAGAATATCATTCTTTAGAACTCACGTGCTTTCGTGCTGAAGATATTCTTATTCGTGGCTCCACTTCCTTTCTTTAAAACGACTAACAACACAATGGCTGTGATTAAAAGAGCCATCACCAAGAAAACCACAAAACCGGCTGCCAAATAGTGTTTCCATGTCCATTTCTAAAAGAATTGTTAGTTGTTAGTTAGTTCTAGACAAATTTTTTATTAAAATTTACACTTCGAATGTCGTTAAGAAGTCGTAGACAATTATTTTTTGAAGAACGATTTTCAGAATGTTGTTGCTCCTAAATATCTAACTTTTAAGAGGAAAAATGCTCACAGAATTTCTCAAAATTAGAATGATGCGATTGTTTTTAATCAACTTTTTAATCTTTTTGATAATATTGAATCGATTGCTCTTTTTAGATAGATAGATAAAATTTTAGATAAAATTGAAGAAAAATTTGCCATTATTAGTCTTCATTTTCTTCATTAAAGTGTTTATCATTTAACCAAAACTGATCATCTAAATCTATTGGGTTGTCCAGTTATGAATGCGCGTTTTTACTATTTTGTAAATTTCTCAAGATATCGAACAGATGTATATGAGTGTTATATATCATTCGAAAGCTGAAGATCTCCTCTACATTTTGGAAGAAAAAAGTTTTTGAATTCATTCAACTTTTTGGGAAATTGACTGCACAAAGGGAGAGGTCGTTTTCGAAAAAACCCATTCCAGCTTAGCTGTTCCTCAAGTTTTATGGTGTAAAATAACCGCCCAGAAAAGAAAAGAAAAGTAAAGATGCTCTGAAATTGTTATATTTTTAAAAAAGTTGTATTGATATATCTATTGGTCAAACATCAAACGGTTAACTCAATTTGAGCGGAGCCAAAACTTGATCCAAAGGCACCCTTCCATTTTTTGGCCACCTCTTCTTCTGTGAAGTCAATTTGCCCAAAAGCTGAACAAATTCAAAAACCTTTTTATATCAAAATGTAGAGGAGATCTTCAGCTTTCGAATAATACTCATATATATCTTTTTCTTGATTTCGGTATCTTGAGAAATTTACAGAAGAGTAAAAAACGCGCATTCATAACTGGACAACCCAATAGATTTAGATGATCAGTTTTTCTTCAACTTTACGTCTAAACAATGAGTCATTTATTTAATATCATCGATAGGGCAAAAATGTAAAATTCGAAAATACGTTGCGTTATCATAATTTTTTACTTTGTAAAAAACAAAATGATCAAAGGGATTAAATTTTTAGATTGAGATTTAAAGTGACTAAACTTGAAACATGAACTACTTAAACCTTTTTAATAGTTTTAATAGTTCCGCTATTCATTGAAAAACAATTAAACTAGATATCTAACGATAAGAATAATTATTACCAAAGCTGGATAACAAATTTTTGAGTTTAACAAGTGATTTTCTTTGGGAAAGAACAAACTTCATTCGACGTCCTCCAATTGACTCGTGGCTGATTGGGAAAACCAGTTGAATGCGTCAAATCTTTGTTATTGTCCCATCGATCAACGCTAAAGATGATAAAGCTAAGGTAAAGATGATAAATCTAAGCTAAAGACCATAAATCTAAGCTAAACACCATAAATCTAAGCTAAACATCATCAAGTTCATTAAACTAGATTTAAAACCAAACAAAATCCTCCCCCACATCGAATAAACTATCTAGTTTCAACTTTAGCAATTACAAGTCGAAAATCACAAAGCTAATCAATAAAATTTCATTCCATTTTTTCATTTTCACCTCATAAACAGCTCCTCATTTGTGCCCGTGGGAAAGCGATTGTGTCTGAAATTGTGAATTGATAATATTTACTTACTAGAGAACTGTTTTAACCCGAAATCCAATTGGGAAATGAGATTTATCTCAAAAAGTTCTCTTAAAATTTGTAAGAGATTCAATTTTACTAACCAGTACAAAATTTTCAACAAAAACGCTTTTAAAGTTTGGGACTTTTTGGAAGAACGGCTGCGGTATAACGCCAAATTGCTTGTCTTCAAAAAGCAACTGGATGGTGTAGGGGATAGTGAATTGGGCTTCCCCCTCGCGCGCCTTGATCCCGGTTCGAATCCCCTCAGCGTCAAAATTTTTTTCTTCTTTCTTAAGTTACAAAAACCCATTTTTAAGTTTTCTGAAGTGTTTATACCGTTCGTAAGCTATATCGTTTGGAAAATAAATGCTACAAAATGTGCATTGATGATAATATTTACTCACTAGAGAACTGTTTTAACTCGAAATCCAATTGGGAAATGAGATTTATCTCAAAAAGTGTTTATACCGTTCGTAAGCTACATGGTATAGGTTGCATAGGATTTTGCCGGCTCTTGACCTTCCCTACGTGAATGGATTCGGCGATGGGGGATCCTCGTCCCTCGCGCCCCTTGATTCTGGCTCGATTCCCCTCACTAACTCCTCACTACTTACTAACCAGTGCAAAATTCTCAACAAAAACGCTTTTAAAGTTTGGGACTTTTTGGAAGAACGGTCGCGGTATAACGCCAAATTACTTGCCTTCAAAAAGCAACTGAATGGTGTAGGGGGTAGTAGGCTTGCCCCTCGAGCCCCTTGATCCTGGTTAGATTCCCCTCAGCGTCAAATTTTTTTTCTTCTTCCTTAAGTTACAAAAACCCCATTTTTAAGTTTTCTGAAGTGTTTATGCCGTTCGTAATATAAAGATCATAAAGCTAAGCTAAAGATCATTAAGCTAAGCTACATCGTTTGGAAAATAAATGCTACCAAAGTGTGCATTGATGCTATTTTTAAATCAAGATTGCTCAATAGAGTTTTCCAAAATAAAATACCCAAGCAAGACTTAAAGATTCAGCTGCTTTCATTAGTTTAGCCAATACTAGAGCTGATTGTGTGCTTTGTGCTCAAATTTTTGCATCAATCTTTCATTTTTGCTAACGACAGCAATTCGATGGATTGAGAAAATGAAGAGTTAAGGCGAGAGAGAGGATGATTACAATGATGATTGCAATGATGATTGCAAATTTGAGCAGAAAGTCCAAAATCTCTTTATTCCGGCCAGTTTATCTTTTGAATCACTCACCCAAACACCTCCTCATTGACATGAGTGGGAAATCTGGTGTCTGTTCGTCGATGAGTGAATGAATTCGGCGACGGGGGATCTTCATCTTCTTCTGATGGCGGTAAAGAGGCGTGCCGGGGTCGTTGTGGTTGGCTTCTTTTCGAAGTCGACGGATTGCCGTTCATTTTAAGATTTCGAAAACAAATTCTTTTTCAAGCCATTCGATTTATTGGGAGATGAGCTGGAATTAAAATCATTTAATGAGTTAATTTAATCATTTAATTTAATCATTCAATTTAATTATTTAATTTAATTATTTAATTTAATTATTTAATTTAATTATTTAATTTAATCATTTCAAATAAGCAACCGGTCCGCTATAGTAGATTTTGATCGAAATTGAAATTGAAATCAAAGCTTTTTAATTAAAGAAATTCGTTTTAAAATTCGTTGATAAAGTTTTGGTTTTAATTTTTGGATTATGTCGTAGCTGGTTATGAATTTTAGTTGATTAGGAATGACCCATCCAATCATTTAGACCCATCCAATCATCAAGTATTTGCTATCATTCAACGCAGAAACATTGATAATTATGTAGATGTGGTAGCCGATTATGAATGAAATTTTTTGGCAAATCTTTCTAGTAGAGCAACGCTTTAATGCATGAGGACAATATTATATGATCTTGTAGCGAATTCAATTCTGCTTCGATTGGTACCAAATTTGTGAGTCTAGGTTAAAAATTGCCGGCGCTACAACGTTTCATTCAAAATCGGCGGGACCCCCGTAGCCGATTATGAATGAGTGGGTCTAGGAGCGTCCAACCATCAAGTATTTAGTATCATTCAACGCAGAATCATTAATAATTATGTTAAATTTTTTTAAATTGGAAAGATTGAATAAAAAGAAAAAAAATTAGAGCAAAAAAACTGTTTGTTCAAGAGGAAACTTTGAAGCCCCATAATTTTTTTTCTTTTTATCCAATCTTTCTAATTTAAAAAATTTAACATAATTATCAATGATTCTGCGTTGAATGATACTAAATACTTGATGGTTGGACGCTCCTAGACCCACTCATTCATAATCGGCTGAAATTCATAATCGGCTACGGCATATATATGTTGTGTCCGATTTAGATTTCCGTCCGATTTAGATTCAATCTAAATCTTATATAGATTGAGCAATAATACGTCTTATATAGATTGAACAATAATATAAACATGCTTAATATATGTTCTTAAGCGTTTTCTGTAGTTTTCTGTAGTTTTCTGCAAATTTCCCATCGAAAGAAATTCCTTGCTATTCTGATCGACTTGCTCTTTTTGACCTTAAACCCTTATCCCATCGCCGCATTTATTTTGATTTGGTCTTATGCTATAAAATCATCTTCTCTCCTAACTCTCATCCGGAACTTAAAGGACTCTTTAAGATTTCGAATCACGCCAGAAGAACTCGTAGTCACAACTTTCAGATTACCCCCTTTCAAAGCTTTCATAACCGCCAACTGTATCATTCTTTTGCTTGTCGTGTTCCTCGTATTTGGAATAAGTTACCTTGTGATATTTTTTCGTCTCTGAACTATTTTAAATCCTCAATATATAAGCTCGATCTTGTAGCTCTGTCAATTTTAAATTAGTTTTTAATGTCATATATACACGTGTCTAATTGTAGTTGTGTTTGTATATCAATTATCTTTCTTCGTCTACGCTGTTCAATCTGTTTGCATTGTCACTTTTCCTTGTCGGATAAAGTATATATATATAAAAAAAGATTAAATATAGGGCAGATTTGAAATGGCAATAAGATCTAATTCGTTTACAGATACAGATACTTTCAATTTTCCTACAGACGAGAAGATACCAGACGGGAGCTTATTCAAAGCTTATTCCAAAGCTTATTCAAAGCTTATTCCAAAGCTTATTCCAAAGCTTATTCCAAAGCTTATTCCAAAGCTTATTCCAAAGCTTATTCCTGTAAACTAATACGGTTCGCAAAAGAATGATAAAGGGAAAGATGATGGGGATGAGAACCGACCGAAATGTACTATTTGATAACGATGACTACGTGTACTTCTAGAAATTTCAACAATTTTCAAGAGGCTTTGAAATTCTGGATGCAACTTAGGGTGGAAAAGAAGCAAAAGCAAAAAATAAGGTCAAAGTAAGGAGGTTGATATAAAATTGAAACTTAATAAATGAAAGTTAATAAATGAAAGTTAATAAATGAAAATAAATAAATGAAAATGAATGAAACCTTCATTTAAAAATTAATAAGATTTAGAAAACTTGAAGAAATTTTCTAAAAAAATGAAAAAAACATCGATCACCTTCACAATTTTTTTGTTTTTATTAATACCGTATTTCTTCGAATAGAAGACCGGATAAAGAGTATGATCGCGTACTCCTGCGTAGCAGCCCTTTTTAAAATTTCTTTTCTGCATAAAAGCTTTCAATGAAGTGCTATAGGGCTGGAAAATGACTCAAAAATACCACATGAGTTAACAGATTTTTGAGCCATTTTCCAGCTCTATAGCACTTGATTGAAAGCTTTTATGCAGAAAAGAAATTTTAAAAAGGAGTACGCAATGATACTCTTTACCCGGTCTTCTATTCGAAGAAATACGGTAAATGGGAAACTATTAGGTTGATGCATAAGTGTTTTTGTTCCTTTTCGTCTGCCGTTTCAAGCCAACAAATGCACGAATTAAACTACGGTTGATTTCATTAGAAAAACCAATTATTTTTCTGCAAAATAACATTAAAACGGGTTTAAAAATATTTAATGCCTGGATTTTCTTGAGAGTATGAAGTCGGGTAGTCAAAAAGGGCTAACTCGATGATGCGGTTTAGACACCTTAGCTAAAGAAAACCTATCTTCGTGTCAATAGATAAAAGATAGAGAAAAAAAACGTTTGATATTTCGCCAAAATTTCAGAGAAATTCATTCAGCCAATTTTTCCGTAGAGTTTTTTATAGATTTTTACGAAAAAGGCGTTTTTCACTCTCGAATTTGCTTGAAAGTGAACCGAAATTCATTTAAAAAGATGCAAATTGAACACAAAAAACACTTTTTTTATAGAGCAAACTATAGATTAATTGGTGAATTTGTTACTTTTTAAACAGAAGTACGAAAAAAACGAAAAGACTTATGCATCAACCTAATAAGATTTAAAAAAATGATGTTAACTTTGAAAAAAGAAGAGATTTTTTTCCTTTGAAACTTTGAAACAAAAGCTTTTTCCCATAGATTATACGGAAAATATGAAAAAGTTGTTTTTGAAATTTAAAATTTCCAAAAAAAGTAGCTGGCTTTTCTTTTTCAGCTCGATTCTTTTTCAAAAATCAAATTTTTATTCAAAAATTTGCAAGCTTACAATAAAAAGCAATCAGTTTTTTTTAAAATAAAAAGAAATAGGTAAAGAAAGAATCTGAACTTTTACCTTTTTTTCGGTTTCTTTTCGATTTTTGCCATTTTTGGCTTCACAGGGTTGGGTTAAAGTGAGATAAGGACACACAGAAAAACGAAAAACGAAAATCAATTACAAAATTCGTGATAATTTTGCGTTTGAACAGAAATTTGAAAAGAAAAATGATCACAAAAGACACAATCCAAAAGCAGAATCGCTCACCGTCTGGCGTAGGGTTTTTCCGTACCTTCCCCTATTCCGGTTTGATCGTATTCGAAAGGCTCATTTTTATTCACTTTGGCGCATGTCGACGCCCACTCGGCGCAAAACTTTCAGCTCCCCGATACTGCAGAGGCAAAACCCCGCAAACCCAGTGTACCGGAATGGGTGTGTTTACAGAGTTGAGCACGTTACTATCAGTGCGACTGCCGGATTGTTTAAATTGATCATCTTTTCAATAATTCCATCTTCAAAGAACTGGGGAGTTTTTGACGAAAAATAGTTGGTGACCGCATTTTCGATTTCCTGGGAATCCTTGAACAGCTGATCGGAGATGAACTGCTTTAGAGACGTGTTTGTTTTCGAATGATATTATGATTGTGTAAGCAAGCATGCTCTGCTTCTCTGTTACTTCTCTGTTTGTCTGCCATTACTTTCCCAAGCGCACACGTTAAAATTCGCATTATTTTCCCGCCAACCCAATAATTTGGAATCGAAAAACTAAAGCTACTCTCAAATGTCTTTTTGCGAGATGTTGCTTTTTGCTTTTGCTTTTTGCTAATGTTTTACTTTTGACTTAGCATAAAACTTAGCAATACTAGCAATACTAAATTTTCATATATAATTTTAATTTTCTCATTTTAATTACCCAAGTTTGAGATATTTGTATATTCGACGGTGAGATGTCCCCTGGCTACCACCCGCTCCACCCGTTGCCACCGCCACGGTGGAGACTGCCCGACTTTGCGTTCGACGTCGGACTGGCCAAGCAGCTCGACTCGTCCTACCACGTCGTCATCGAGGGACTGCCTGAAGCGGTGTTGTGCCCCACGATGGACTCGATGTCACGGAGAAATGCTGATTTACATTTACCCTCGAGGACCACTGGCCTCGAGGACCACTGGCTCCTCGAGGGAATTCTGACGGCGTAATGGGCTCGACGCGAGTGGAGGACGTCCACTCGTACCGTATGGGTATCTACAATCTCGAATAAGCCAAGCCTTAAGCTAATGGCTTAAGCCTCGTTAGCTTAAGCCTCGTTAGCTTAGCGCTAATGACTGTTTGAATTAACTTTTTATTCAAAATTCATAAAATACAAAGTGAAACTTTTTCGGAAAGCTTGTTAGAAAGGTTTTTTTATAAAAAAAATATCAATTTTTAATAAATATTCTTTGTTTTAAACTGAAAGTAGAACTTTTTCGCTAAAAAAATGAACTGAAAGAAACCTGCTATTAAAATAAATGCATAGGAAAAAGGTTAAATGTTTGAAAATTTACGAAAAATCGTTAAGTAGCCAAAATCACAACCGGATTTTTTCGAAAAATCACAAAAAAATTGGGAAAATCATCGAAAATCATAGAAAATCATCGAAAATCATAGAAATTTCTAGACGAACTCACGCAAAAACGCTAGAAAAGAAAAGAAATTAGATATAAAAGGTTGAAAATGTAAAATGAATGTTTAAAAGATTCAAAGATTCAAAGTTTAAAAGTTTCAAAATATCAAAATATCAAAAATTTCTCTACTGTACAGCTCTTTAGATGATGGTTTTTCCTTTTTCTTTTTCTTTTATTTAAAGCTGAGCATTTTTATGCGATGAACTGTTTGAAGAGCAATGGGAAAGGGCAGTGTTGGCGGGAAATCTGAAATTAAAACTTTATAGAATTTTGTTAAATTGGAAAAATATGGGAAAATTCCAAGGCGAACCTAATTCCACCTTCATTTTCTCAGCCGTTTCTTGGCCGATTGCTCTGAAATTTTGTCTACAGCTAGAAATCGACATTTCCAACTTGTACACAAAATTTCAAAGCAATCAGCCAAGAATCGGCCGAGAAAACAAAGGTGGAATTAGGTTCGGCTTGGAATTTTCCTTTGTCTAGTGAATTGGAAATACAAAAGTAACCAAGAGGCTTTAGGGATTGATTGAAGTAACGAATCTTGAGAAAATCGAGGGCCAGATCTTCTCGATTTTAACTGCTTTTTAAGTGACGCAAGTGGCTAAACGGGATTTAGAACTTGTATTGGAATTGGAACTATTCAAAATACAGTCAATTTTAGGACAGAAATTGATCCGAAAAATTTTCGCACAGTGACTAGACGTGCTGTCCGATTTGTCTGTCGGATCGGATCGCATTCAAATCGATGAGTGTCAAGGTCATCGAATCGGATCTTCATTCGAGACATCGAATGAAGATCCGATCATCATCCTATCCGATCCGATCCACCAAATGGTAAGTCTAATTGATTTAAACTGTCTAACTAATTTGATTGCCGCTGAATTGATTGGATATATTTCGGGTTTTGATCGGATACCGTTTTCTCTCTAATAGTAGTGCACCTGGGTCGAGCCGAGTTGGTGACTGTTTTACGGTTTCCAGAGTTTCCACAGAAGCTCAACACTCAAATCCCCCACTAGATCTCATCGTCAGCTACATTTTCCGACCTCACATCGATAGGTTCTGATAAGCGGTTCTCGAGATTTCGAGGAATTTAGGCGACGCTCACTACTATTAGGGAAAATACGGTATTTGCTAATTTACCTGTCCGGATAGTGAACCGGGTCCGGGTCAAAGTGCCGGATTTTCCCCGTTGATGCCTATTTTGCGGTTTCCAAGCTTTTGCAGAAGCTCAACACTCTAATCCCCCACAAGATCTCATCATCAGCTACATTTTCCGACCCCACACAAGTTCCATAGGTTCTGATAAGCGGTTCTCGAGATTTCAAGCAATTTAGGCAACGCTCATTAGAGAGAATACGGTAATTTGCATTTTAAATAATACAAAATTTGGATTTAAAATAAATGCTAATTGAGAAAAGAATGATCGCCGATTTAAATTTAAAGCTTAGCGGCTTAGCTAAGCCGATCCTTTCTGTCGGATTCATTCATTTTATCGTTTTATTGAATCTACTTCACTAGAGCTGGTAATAGTTTTAAAAAAACTATCAAAATTCTCTAATATAGAGAAAATCCTTAAACTTTTGTCTAAACTTTCAAATGAATTCGGAAACTTATCAGTCTATTTGGAAGTTCCCAGCTTTCAGATTTCTCTTGCAACTTACTGAAGAATTTTGTCTCAATTTCTCACTCGTATCACGGGATAATCTAATCGACTAATCGTGATCATAGTGATTGTATCGGTGGTGATTTCTCTGTCGCCTTAAGTGTCGCTCCATTCGACGCCCAACCTTGTGCCACTCTGAAATGAAGAGAATTAAAAACAATACATTTATTCAGAAGAATACTGTCATACAAACAATACTCAAGCACAACCATTACGCTCTAAACGTAGGGGAAAACCAGAATAGGTGAAATAGGTGAAAAGAACCAAAAATCTACCCAGCGGGATTGAACCCGGATCTTTCGACCGAGGCTCTTAGCCAGTCGGCCCAGGCAGCCAGGTTGAGGCTTGAGGAATTTCCTTTATTCTTTATTCTTCGTCTAAACCATGTCCCCTTTCTCTATCTAGAACTTTTTTTGAGGTTACCAAAAGTGAAACTTTAAAAATCTTACGTTGATAACTATTGGATTGGTGAATTGAAAACTGCCGGCTATTGTCATATGTGACAGTTTGAGGACTTTCTTCAAAAGAAACCCATTTTGGTCTCATTGGAAAAGTTGTAGAGAATCAAAAATCAAGCTTATATCCAAATTCTCAGAACGATTCAAAAACTGGTTTTCAAGAAATGCCAAATTTACGAATTTTCACAAAACTTGCATTTTAAGCGAAACTACTAAGTGTATCTTTTTGGAAATTTGGCTATAAGCCTAATTTTTGATTCTCTACAACTTTTCTATTGACACCAAAATGGGTTTCATTTCAAGAAGGTGCTCAAATGCTCAAACTGGTACATCTCCAGTCCTCCATTTTTGAGTCTCACACTTGTCTCACACACAAACCAAAATCCTACAACGAAAGAATCCGCAAATTGCCTGTAAAATGGGCAGAAGTCGTCAATAATAATGGAGCTTATTTCCAATGAATTGATGGTTTTATGTTAAATAAATTTTGCTTCAAAGTTTAGTTCAAAGTCCCGCAGTTTTCAATTCACCAACCCAATAGTTTCTAAAGTTTGATCAGCTACTTTACTCGATTAAAATGCTATTTGTTGTACACCTCCATTGAAATCTATTCAATTTTCCTTTTTCAATTCAATCAATTGCAAATTTAGGTCTCACTTACCCGAAAAACCGACGGCTCCCGGATAGTAATACACTTCCATCACCCATTTTCGATAAGAGTCACGGGAAATGATCTGAAACATCAAATTAGTGTCAAATCGAAAAAGAAAAAAGTGAACTGTAGTCCTTTTAAAGCTTATTTTACTCACTGCTCCGCCAAAAAAAAACACTATTCGAATGTCCAGAAAGTGTTTCTTTTATTTTCTTATATTTTCGTTGAAAGAAATCCAGAAATGAGAGATTTTAGACATTTTAACCCTTTGAATGTTATTTTGCAGAAAAATAAGTAATCTTTTTAATGAAAAAAAACTGTTTTTGAATTGGTTTTAAACAAAAGTACAAAAAGAAACGAAAAAAACTTTCTGAACAGCTTAATAACTTAACGAATAGAAACCCTGATTTATTTCCAACTATTTAAATTCGACAACCCAACACCAAGATATTTGAGCTCAAAGTTCTTGGTGTTTGGCTGTCCAATTTCTAAATTATTGGCGTCATTAGATGCGCCAAGTCTTTCTCTATCGATTGGTACAAAAACTATTTAAATTGAGCAAGCCAACACCAAGAAATTTAAGCTTAAAGTTAGATTGCCAATGGCAAAAGGGGCGCGTATAGAAGGTCCATCGCCCCGCCCCTTTTGCCATTAGCAATCGAACTTTAAGCTCAAATATCTTGGTGTTGGCTTGTTCAATTTGAATAGTTTTTGGATCAATCGATAGAGAAAGACTTGGCGCATCTAATGATACCAATAATTTAGAAATTGGCCAGCCCAACACCAAGGAATTTAAGCTCAAAGTTAGATTGCCAATGGCGAAAGGGGGCGGGGCGCGTATAAAAAGGCCGTCGCCCCGCCCTTTTTGCCATTAGCAATTTAACTTTAAGCTCAAATATCTTGGTATTGGGCTATCCAATTCCAATATGCTTGGTATCATTAGATGCGCCAAGATCTTTCTCTATCGATTGGTACAAAAATTATTTAAATTGAGCAAGCCAACACCAAGAAATTTAAGCTCAAAGTTAGATTGTCAATGGCAAAAGGGGGCGGGTCCATCGGGACCTATAAAAGGTCCATCGCCCCGCCCCTTTTCCCATATCAGCGACTTTTATAGTCACGTTTTGAACAAAAGTACAAAAAAAGATGAAAAAAAATTTCGGAACAGCTTAATAATTGATTAGAAACGTCGATTTCTTTTCATTTAACTTGAAACTTCATTTTTTTAAAGCTTAGAATTCCACTTCCTGAGCTTAGACTTTGTTTTTTTAAAAGAAATTCGCTAAATAGTCAAGCTAATATCAAATAGAAATTATGGATTAGTTGAATAGACATTGTGATTTCCTTTATAATTTCGAACTAACTTTTCTCGGTGATTTCGCGTATCGATCCCCGGGAAACTCGACGAAAAGCGTCCAGTAGCCCTTTCTTCTCACCTGAAACAAATGAACAAAGTAAAGTTTGTTTAATTTCAAAATCAATTTCTTCAAGCTAGTTAATTTCTTGAGAAACTTTTGCTGAAACGCTCACCTCAAAAGAATGCTCAAATGTCCCACCGACGGAGACATTGAAATCAGCCGTGTTATCCACTCCAACCAAACGGAAAAATGTGGCCTCTGTGACGTTGTGATTCCTGAAGAAAACTTGAACTCTTTCATTTCAGATTTCATTTCAAACAGATTTATCAAACAGATTGTCAGAGTTTTTCTTTCAACTAAAGAAACACTTTCAGACAAAAATGCTGATTGATTTTTTCAAGTTTTCCTCGCTTTTGGCTTAGGCTCAGGCTTAGGCTTGGACTTAGTGCGAAGGCTAGCGCCTCGCACTAAGTCTATTTGGGTTTGGGCTGAGCCCCCATTTTCTGGATCTCAGCCAGTTCCCGGAGCTAAGGCGCACCCGCTTGGTTAGGCTTAGGCTTAGGCTGAGGCTTAGGCTTAGGCTGAGGCTTAGGCTTAGGCTTAGGCTGAGGCTTAGGCTGAGGCTTAGGCTTAGGCTTAGGCTTAGGCTTAGGCTGAGGCTGAGGCTTAGGCTTAGGCTTAGGCTTAGGCTTAGGGCTTAGGGCTTAGGCTGTAATTAAAGCCACCAATCGTTTCTCAATGTTGGTTAAATTAAAAAATACTAAAAAGTTAAATTAAAAAATAGCTCTGAAATTCAGAGCTATTTTTTAATACCTAAGCGCGCATTGTAGCATAAACCAGTGTCAAGAAAAACTCGTTGAAAGCTAGACTACGCAACACTCCACACCGTCATTACGGGGGTGAGGTACTATTACAGTATTTACGGTAGATATCCTTTCAATCATTTCAAAACAATCAGCCAGAAGGCAGGCTAGAACCTAGTTTCTTTGCTGACATTGGTCTGGCTTGGTGGAAAAAATTGCGCTTCAGAACAGCTTTGTGCCTATTTTCACCTCTATAAAGCAAACTATCAACTCTATCAATCGGTTTCTCTTTTCTCATAGACTTTTGCTATTTCGATTGCTTTTTCAGCTTTTATTTGATCCAAGTAATACAAATTGCTGTAATACAAATTGATTGCTTTAACAATGAACTAAAGTTGATAGTTTTGAAACAAGAATATGATCATAACATTTGCCATTAGCAATCTAACTTTAAGCTCAAATATCTTGCTGTTGGGCTGGCCAATTTCTGAGTTATTGGTGTCATTAGATGCGTCAAGACTTTCTCTATCGATTGGTACAAAAACTATTTAAATTGAACAAGTCAACACTAAGAAATTTAAGCTTAAAGTTAGATTGCCAATGGCAAAAGGGGGCAGGTCCATCGGGACCTATAAAAGGTCCATCGCCCCGCCCCTTTTCCCATATCAGCGACTTTTATAGTCACGTTTTTCAAAGGGAAAGCTAACAAACCTGACAAAGAGGGTGAGATCGTATTTGCGTCCTTTGTACGGATGAAGGCGCTTGCTGAAGGTGAGATGCGCGGCGATGAGAATGAGAAAAGTGGCGAAGAAAAGGGAATGATGAGAAGAGAATGAAGGCATTAACATAATCGAATCCCCACTCCTCCTTCACTCACCCCTCAATGCACGGATTGAGGTGAACGGATTCGGATCGGCGTTTTTCTTTGATCTGAAACTCTCACCATTAAGCACTTTAAGCACTTTAATCCTCAATTAACAAAATGCAAAATGCTTACATTTGCTTCTAAAGCGAGAATCATGTAAAATCACACCGTTTTACTTAAAATTCAAACCCAGATATGCCAATTTTAAAACGCAAAAGCCTTTTTTCATTTGAATGAAACAGATTTCGATGAAATTTTCAATGAAATGTGAGGTTGTAAGTGTAAATTTTGATTCACAAGTGCTAAAAGTATGTCAGTTTCAAAATATACATGCTAAACGCTTATTCCGTTTTACTAATTATCTCATTTTTCGTCAATTTGAAGCTTTTTGGTCGAGGGTTAGTGTAATTTAAAGGTTTGAGAAATGCATGTTTCATTTTGCTTCATAATCAACCTGTTGAACCCTAGATAGTTCGCGGTCGTGATTTTTAAAAAACAATACTATATTCAATGTTGGGCTGACTGCCTAAGCCTGAGCCTGAGCCTAAGCCTGAGCCTAAGCCTAAGCCTGAGCCTGAGCCTAAGCCTAAGCCTGAGCCTGAGCCTAAGCCTGAGCCTAAGCCTAAGCCAAAGCCTAAGCTTAAGCCTAAGCCTGAGCCTGTGCCTAAGCCTGAGCCTGAGCCTCTATTTTCTAAGCAATAACAATTAAAATTTGAGCACATTTCCTTTCGGTTAATCGATTTTAGATAATTTACGGTAATCTCGCCGCCAGTTTTCATTTGATCAGCTCTAATTTTGGTTTAGGCTTAGGCTTAGGCCTTAGACTTAGGCGTAGGCTTAGGCTTAGGCTTGGACTTAGACTTAGGCTCTTATTCAATGAGGAATCACAAGGCTCACTTAATTTGACAAAAATTAGGCTAATTGAATGATAACTGACGCGAGATTATGGTAGTTTTGTAAAAGAAATGCCTTTTTAGGAAATGGATTGGCTTGGATTGGCTTTGAGCAATGGACTGGCTTGGATTGGCCTTGGGAAATGGATTGGCTTTTTAGAGGAGAGATATTTAGGGAGAATGGATAGTCAGGCTGAGCTATGCTAATATAAATCCAGTTGACTCTCTCTATAACAGAACTCTATATAGTGAAAACTATATAATGTAATGGAATTTTGGTTCCGGCCGACGCTAAGCTAGATACGGCACTCTATATAACGGAAAAGTTTTTTGGTTTCTCGCATTCCGTTGTAGAACGTTAACAGTCAACTAGAAGATTTTAATTTCACTTAAAAGTTTTGAAAGAATGAATCAAATGATTACCACAAAATTAAACGTTGCCCTTTCTAATGATTCTGGGATTAAACGTGCACCTTTCTTTCAGAATTTACTCCTTTCAGAACTCAGAAACATCAACTTTTCACTCGTGTCAAAGCCCCTATTCTCTCACTAATCCCCTAAACAATCAAAAAAATGAATGATCTATTTTTTCGAAAAAGATTTTTGAATTGTTTTTGTTTTCTTTTTGTTTTCTTTTTGTTTTCTTTGATGATGATTGAAAAAAAAATGATTTTAAGGCCATTTTTGACAACCAGTTTTTGACAGCGGTTTGATAAAAGAGAAAAAACGAGAAAACGAAATGAAATGAGAGATTTGCACTTGGAAATTTTTGGGTTGATGAATTGAGAACTGCGGTCCATTGTCATATGTGACCGTTTGAGCACTTTCTTCAAAAGAAACTCATTTTGGTCTTAATAGAGAAGTTGTAGAGAATCAAAAATCAAGCTTATATCCAAATTTTCAGAACGATTCAAAAACTGGTTTTCAAGAAATGCCAAATTTACGAATTTTCACAAAACTTGCAACAAAACTAGCATTTTAAGCGAAACTACTAAGTGTATCTTTTTGAAAATTTGGCTATAAGCCTAATTTTTGATTCTCTACAACTTTTCTATTGACACCAAAATGGGTTTCTTTTGAAGAAAGTGCTCAAACTGGACAAACTGGGACGTCTCCAGTCCTCCATTTTTGAGTCTCACACTTGTCTCACACACAAACCAAAACTACGAAAGAGGAATCGTCTGTAAAATTGTCTGTAAAATGGAATCGTCTGTAAATTGCCTGTAAAATGGGCAGAAGTCGTCAATAACAATGGAAATTATTTGGAATGAATTCATGGTTTTATGTTGAATAGATTTTAGTTCAAAGTTTAGTTCAAAGTCCGGCAGTTTTCACTTCATCAACCCAAGATCTATAAATATTATTAAATATTATTGGAAAAGGTGAATGCATCCCTAAAGAAGAATAGGCCCTCCAAGTCAAAGATCGTCCTCATCCACGACAACGCGCGCCCTCATGTTGCAAAACTGACTAGCTTTAAAATAAATAGCCTTGTTTGGGAACTTTTGGCGCATTCCCCATACAGTCCGGACCTCTCCCCTTTTGATTACTATTTATTCTGGATCATGAGCTTGCGGGAGAACACTTCGATTCGGAAGAAGCAGTCAAAAATTGGCTTTGAAAGTTTTTCAATTCAAAAGCAAAATCCTACTACGAAAGAGGAGACGAAAATTGCCTGTAAAATGAGCAGAAGTCGTCAATAATAATGAAAATAATAATGGAAATGATTTGGAATGAATTGATGGTTTGATGTTGAATAAATTTTAGTTCAAAGTCCGGCAGTTTAAAGCGCCTTCAGCTCCTTTAAAGCTCCTTTATAATTCCTTTATAGATCCTTGAAAGCTCCTTGAAAGCTCCTTTAAAGCTTTCAATTCACCAACCCAATATTTTGATTCATTATAACAAAGAATTCTATCAAATTTAACATCAAATCAAATCAAATTTAGGAAAGAATTCGATCAAAGACAAAGAGAAAAGAGCTATTTTCTTTCTGATAACATTTTGGATCCAGAGATTTCATTGAGATTGAGATTTCAATCGATTCGTGATTTGTTTTACGAAGATTTTGATTGATCGTGAGAGTAAAAGATGTCATTTATCAGAAAAATATTCAAAAATCATGAGTAGAAAATCATTTAAGCTTTTTAAAATAAAATTAGCATGAAAAAAACTGTGATGAATTGATTTTTCAGGGTTTTTTCATCAAAGCATGAGAAATTTGAAAGAAAACAAAACCCGAGTTTCAAATTTGGATGTGTTTATGAGACAATTTTGTTTTTTAATCGACACTTTCTCGCTTCTAGTTTTCAGTTTTAGTTTTCATTTGATAAAAGAGCTTTTAGATGAACGAATTTTGCTATTTTATTGGTTTACTGTGTTTATATGGCTCTTTGTTCTTTTTAGTAACGACTATTGCTTCAATTGACCGACTGGTATTCTTTCTTCCAGGCATTCCTTCTTCCTGGCATTGCTTCTTCCTGGTATTCCTTCTTCCTGGCATTGCTTCTTCCTGGCATTTCTTCTTCCTGGCATTCCTTCTTCCTGGCATTGCTTCTTCCTGGCATTTCTTCTTCCTGGCATTCCTTCTTCCTTTCTTCTTCCTGGCATTTCTTCTTCCTGGCATTCCTTCTTCCTGGCATTTCTTCTTCCTGGCATTCCTTCTTCCTTTCTTCTTCCTGGCATTCCTTCTTCCTTTCTTCTTCCTGGCATTTCTTCTTCCTGGCATTCCTTCTTCCTGGCATTTCTTCTTCCTGGCATTCCTTCTTCCTTTCTTCTTCCTGGCATTCCTTCTTCCTTTCTTCTTCCTGGCATTTCTTCCTGGCATTCCTTCTTCCGGCTTCTCTTCTTCTGCTTCCTTCTTCCTGGCATTTCTTCTTCCGGCTTTCTTCTCCTGGCATTCCTTCTTCCTTTCTTCTTCCTGGCATTTCTTCTTCCGGCATTCCTTCCTTCTTCTTCCTGGCATTGCTTCTTCCTGGCATTTCTTCTTCCTGGCATTCCTTCTTCCTTTCTTCTTCCTGGTATTCCTTCTTCCTGGCATTTCTTCTTCCTGGCATTCCTTCTTCCTTTCTTCTCCCCCCTTGTGTTTCCCTCTTTCTCTTTGCAAGCTACTGGATAGCTGAATGGTTAGAGCAATTGCAAGTGGAAAGCAAAAGGTCGAGGGCTCAAAACCCTCTCCGGAGATCTACTTTTCCATGCCAATTCCCTCATTTCTCTATTAAAATCTTTCAATTTTTCCATTTTTTTTCCCATTTAAAAGCTCTATTAATCTTCGAAAAGTAGCTTTTAACGCATTTAAAAACGCTTCCGTTTTGTGGCTTTTCAGAAAGCAAGAATTTGAGGAATTGAAAGCAAAATAAAAGGCCTAATAATAGCATTTAAGCATAGTTGAGCACTTTTAACCAAAGAAACCTTTTTTGGTGTGATAAGACAAAAGATAGAGCAAAATGTAAAATGCAAAATGCTAATCGAGACCAAGACATTAACGAAAAGTCAATCAAATGCTAATTGTTGAAGTTAAAATAAACATTTAAACATGAAAAGAAGTTCAAAATTGGCACCAAGTGTCCAAGTGATTAAATTTTAAATGGCATTTGAAAAATTCGAAAAACTGATCTCCATTTATCACTTGTTTTCTTGTTGTGTGTCATGAGAGAATTGAGGCAGAGAAAAATGAATCGGCTCTTTTTCTCCGATCTCGATTTCGCCGCCGAAAAAAACTCTGGTTCCAAAAAAAGGAAAAACAAAAGAACAAAAAAGGAGTTCGGACTCCCTCGGGAATTTCATTCACCCAAATGTCTTTATGGCTCTAAAAAGTTGGCCTCTGGGAAAAGAAATGGGAAGAAAAAGGGAGAAGATTCAGAGATGACAATCCCCCCGTTTTTTTGATCGCTTGATTGCTTTTTTGATCGCTTTTTTGATGAAATGCTATTAAAATTGATGATATTCAATGGGAAACATGAAAATAACGGAAAAAGTAAAAAAAATGTAATCTAAAAACTGAAACAAACTTTTAAACAAACTTTTGAAGCAAACATTTTCTCTAGAGAATCGGGAGCACTTTGGCTTTACTTTGGCTTTACTTTGGCTTTAG